AGAGGTAAAAGTGCGGCAAGGTATAAGGGTGGAACGGGGGATAGGAGGATCCCTGCACCCTCTCTCTCTACCCCCCGCCTCCCCCGCTCCCCTGCCCCGCCTCCCCCGCAACCCTGCCCCGCCTCCCCCGCTCCCCTGCCCTGCCTCCCCCGCTCCCTTGCCCCGCCTCCCCCGCTCCCCTGCCCCGCCTCCCCCGCTCCCCTGCCCCGCCTCCCCCACTCCCCTGCCCAGCCTCCCCCGCTCCCCTGCCCAGCCTCCCCCGCTCCCTTGCCCCGCCTCCCCCCGCTCCCCTGCCCCGCCCCCTGCAGCATTGCGCTCCTTGCTGCCCGCCTGCACGCGCTGCCCCAGCTGTGCGCCCAGCACTCTGCTCCAAAGCCGCAGCAGCACCTGCCATGCGTGCGGAGAAGAGGGGGAACGTGATAGGCAGGGGAGTGATGGCGACGTGGAGAGAGGCGCGAGGGAAGGGAGGTCGGCGGTAAGGGAAATTTCCAGGCGACAGGGAGGGCGATGGGAGGGGAAGCGCGGGCGACGGTGGGGGAAAGCGTGGGCGACGGTGGGGGGAAGTGTGGGCGGCGGTGGGAGAAATCGTGGGCGGCGGTGGGAGAAATCGTGGGCGACGGTGGGAGAGATCGTGGGCGATGAGCGGCGATGCGTGAAGGTGGGGGAAGGCGCTCGCGACGGTAGGGGGAAGCTTGGGTGAAGGCAGGAGGAAGCGTGAGCGGCGGTAAGGGGAAGCGTGAGCGACGGTGGGGGAAAGCGTGAGCGACGATGAGGGAAAGCGTGGGCGTGTGCGTGGGGGGTATGCAAGAGACGGTTGGGGGAAGCGCGGGGGACGCGGAAGACGATAGGGCCAAATGCGATATTTGCGGAAGGGCGATGCCAGTGCGACCGAGTGCGGAAACGTGATATGGCCTCGCGTTGCTGTCATGCCGATAAGCTACGACCAGAAAAGTAGTCGAGGTCTCAATATCGGCCGTAGGATAGATTCGTCTGGAGTTCTAAGCCGTATGATGGCTAAGAATAATGGCGGAAGTGCTCATGGGCTATGCTTTAGTGGCTTCTTTTTCTCTCTTCGCATGAGGAACTCGCATACTATGGACAAAAGCACGACCTGAATTACCATTTTTGCAAACTGGGCACATTTTGAGCCCTTGTTCTTGCGGAGGGGTGTGGTTGGGGCTCTCGCAAACCAAACCTCTTCTGCTCCACGACTCAATGTTTTTTGGCGGGATGTTTTCTGGTAACCAGCTTGGCTCGGGAGGTCAACTCTGGGTTCGGTAGGCAAACTGTGCACAGTTTGCCTACTCCTTTTTGTAATTCAGGTCTTGGGCTTTAAGTTTTCTGACCGAGAAGTACAGCGAGGCTGCAGGAAAATACCAGTCACGAAAGTGCTGTGCTGGACAAGCCGCATTGGTTGGGGTGGTTGGACTTCTGCAGCAGTAACAATTTTTTGTTAGTTACCAAAAGCTTATTTTCGTTTTGACGAGAAATGTGTTCGCCTGTCGTCGGTTGGAACATTTGACGCGCGAGGCAAGTGTGCAGTGCAATTTGCAGCCATGTTGTGACTTGGGGCCTTGTTCAAGTCGAGTTTTGGCGAAGATGGTGTAGGTAGCCCCAAGGTTACCTGCGTTGGGGGTGAGTTGGCCCCCCTACAATTAATGTCATATGACATTACGCTACCGCCATACCTCCACCATGCCACCTCATGATCATGCGACCTGCTTAGCGACCGAGTGCCAAGGCTTGGTCGATAAGGCTTCCTTTCATCAGTCGCGGCACCACCTGGAGGCTTAGTGTATCCGACTGACTCCGAGTCACGGTCGCTTCGCCCTCACGACCATCCTCTCCCGTTCCGTCGTGTCGCTTGGTAGCTTCTTCGAGCATTTTTTTTTTTTTTTTTCAGCTTTTAGTGACCCTTCTACAGAACTTGTGCACGTCAATCTCCGCGGCTTTTGAGGCGCCTCAAAAGTCGTCTCAATTCACGCGGTTTTTGTAGGCGCCTCAAAAGACCTTCTGGAGAACTTGTGCATGCCGTCTTCAGTCCGCCGGCCTTCATGGCTATTCGAGAGGATGAGGGCAGCGAAGCTGCATGGGCGGGAGTTGATATGCAGAGAGGAACCCTCTCTGATGCGTTTCATCAGGTGTGAATGGAAGGAGTGAACGGGAGGGATGAGAGGAGAGAGAGGGATGAGAGGAATGCTCTACAAAATGTGGAACGCCACATCCCATGCCCAAATGTGGGTTTCCCCCATCCTTGCGCACTGTCCATTGCACGAGCAATGGCTGAGGTCACTAGAAACAGTGTTTACGAGGGTTAGCAGTGCAGAACCTATGCTGAAAAATTGGTGAACAATGCACCCCCTTCCCCATTGTCTCTGCAGCCGCCAGCAGATTCGCACCCAACTCGCCCCGCACGTGCCAAATTGGATTGGTACAGCGTTTTTACTTCGGTTGTGTTGGATGTACGGTGGTTTCGAGCTTGCGCGAAACTAAAAAGAGAATTCAGGTCGAAGGAAATTTTGTGGCGTTATAACAGAGCAGACTATAGCGACATTTTTTGTCAGATAAGGTTTTGCTGACGTGTCAGGAAACCGCGTCACTTGTGAAGGTGCGTTGTCACGATCTGGTGTGACAGCACGGATGGGATTTGGACTAGTCTGGGCGAACTGAAGCTCACAAGGTAGGGTTTCCTATTTTTTCGCTAGGCATCGTCATGATGCCTCTGAATCCGTATGAGCGGTACGTTCAAACCGACTCCAGTTTTGACGACCTCGCGAACTAAGTCGCCAACATTTCGACAATCTTCACGTGCGACCCAGCACCACACAACAGCACCCCATTCAACACGCCTCTCTCTCACAACTCATAATCTTCCACAGTCAGGCACTTTCTATTTCACTCCAGTATTTCTATCTGTTTTCCTCGCTCAGATTGCACGAGTTAATGGCTGCTGCAGTCTATCCGTTCGTTCCTTACGTTCACATTGCTAACTTATGTTCTTTAATCTGTTCCTACATCCTCCCTCCAGCAGGATAAAAAAAAACCGTTGTGCTGGACGATTCAGCTGTGAAACTCGCCCAGGCTGCATGAAACTTGCGATGACGCTACCTTTTGACGCTGGTCCGGTTGTGTGCTCATTCAGGTGAGTTTATGTTCCAGGCAAGTACGCTTTGGCTAATGCAAGCACCTATGTTGTTGCAGAATACAAGCGCGCATGACAACGCTTATACCAGCGACTTCCGAGATTATCGTCAAGCCTTCGAGAATATTGTCGCCAAATTTTTAATATCTTCCGAAAGATTTATCGCCAGATTATTGCAAAGTTCATCGCGGTTCCTTCAGGGCCGCCCAGCAGTGCATTTCCAGGCATATTAAGGGCATGACTGATTCGTAGGTGCATCTCTGTTAACCTTTGCTGTGTGGACCTAACTCTGCTGCTTGTGCTACTGGGTGCAGAATCTCTTCCTGGTCGAAATGAGCTACTGTGTTCATTATTGCATGATAATTGTGCTGTGTGTGGATGTTGTACGCGGTATCTAGGATGTTGGGGTTTAATTGGTAAGGCCGACCAGGTATTGTAGTAATGGTTGTTATTGACCTGAGGTTGCGTTGAAATAGAAGTATTGAAATATAAGTACTACCAATACTTACAGTTCCTAGCAGAGAAGATAATTCATGTGTCATGCTTTTACGATTATAATAGTACCTACCAATTTTGCATTTTCTCTTTTTTCGTAATTAGTTTATGATAAGCTGAGTGTACTGTGAAAATTAATCCGTTATTAAAGGCGCCTAAATGATTTGTTTTGCTTGCTGTAGTGAGGATGAGCAATGCTGGTCGTTGGCTGGTGCACTGCTTGCCGAGCCTGGTCAAGATTGCTCATGCAAACCTTTCAATCATTCCTCAAACAAAGCTCAAGCGTGAAGATTGCTCTAGCATTTCACATGATAAACCACGAGCATTGGTGGCAGGAAAAAACATCAAGCAGTCCCCATGAAATGCTTTTGCAGTCTTTTTCCTTCTGAAATTTTGTAGAGTGAATGAGACACGAAAGATCTGTAAGACAAACGAAGGGAAAGAGAAGGACGAGACGAGAGGAATGAGGAACGAGGGGAAGGAAAAGGATTCGAGGGATGGGAGGGATGAGAAGGATGGGAGTGATTAGACGGATGGGATTGATGAGAGGGGTGAGAGGGATGAGAGGGGAGAGAGGGTTGAGAGGGTTGAGAAGAGCGAGTCATCACCTCCCTTGTTACCCCTCGGTGCTTCTCACAGTTCCCTCATCCCTCCACTCCTCCTCCCATCCCATCTCCCTCATCATCCCCCCTCTCATCCTCTCATCACCCTAATCTCACCTCTCCCACACTTCACCTCATCGGCAATGCGTCTCTCTCCTCCCACCCATCAGAGCATGAAAGCCCATCTGCACTTCCACACCTTGCCTGACCTGCACAGCTTCAACCGCACAATGCCAGCCTTTGTGTGTGTGTGTGTGTGTGTGTGTGTGTGTGTGTGTGTGTGTGTGTGTGTGTGTGTGTGTGCGTGCGTGTGTGTGTGTGTGTGTGTGTGTGTGTGTTGTTGTTGTTGTTTTCTTCTTCTTCTTCTTCTTTTTCTTCTTTTTTTCTCACCTCTCCCGTTCTTCACCTTATCTTCAGTGCTTCTCTCTCTCCCCACCCATCAGAGCTCGGAAGCCCATCTGCACTTCCACCCTTCTGCACAGCTTCAGTGGAACCATGAGTGCTTCTTCTCCCTCTTTCGGTGTGCCTCTAAAGTTGTCTCCCTCTCCCCACCCATCAGGGCTCGGAAGCCTATCTACAATTTCACACCGTGGCGGACCTACACAGCTTCAGCCGCACAATGAGAGCGTCCGGCCACTCCCTCACCTCCCTTCGCCTGGGCCCCACTCCCGGGGACGCATTCAGCTGGGAAGACTCGCATGAGCATGCTCAGCAGGAGCTTCGGCATGCAGAGCAGCACAGCCAGTCAGAGCAGCACAGCCATGCAGAGCAGCACAGCCATGCAGAGCAGCACAGCCATGCAGAGCAGCACAGCCATGCAGAGCAGCACAACCATGCCAAGCAGCACAGCCATGCCGAGCAGCACAGCCATGCCGAGCAGCACAGCCATGCAGAGCAGCACAGCCATGCCGAGCAGCACAGCCATGCAGAGCAGCACAGCCATGCAGAGCAGCACAGCCATGCCGAGCAGCACAGCCATGCCGAGCAGCACAGCCATGCAGAGCAGCACAGCCATGCAGAGCAGCACAGCCATGCAGAGCAGCACAGCCATGCAGAGCAGCACAGCCATGCAGAGCAGCACAGCCATGCAGAGCAGCACAGCCATGCCGAGCAGCACAGCCATGCAGAGCAGCACAGCCATGCCGAGCAGCACAGCCATGCCGAGCAGCACAGCCATGCAGAGCAGCACAGCCATGCCGAGCAGCACAGCCATGCCGAGCAGCACAGCCATGCCGAGCAGCACAGCCATGCAGAGCAGCACAACCATGCCAAGCAGCACAGCCATGCCGAGCAGCACAGCCATGCAGAGCAGCACAGCCATGCAGAGCAGCACAGCCATGCAGAGCAGCACAGCCATGCAGAGCAGCACAGCCATGCAGAGCAGCACAGCCATGCAGAGCAGCACAGCCATGCAGAGCAGCACAGCCAAGCCGAGCAGCACAGCCATGCAGAGCAGCACAGCCATGCCGAGCAGCACAGCCATGCCGAGCAGCACAGCCATGCAGAGCAGCACAGCCATGCAGAGCAGCACAGCCATGCCGAGCAGCACGGCCATGCAGAGCAGCACAGCCATGCAGAGCAGCACAGCCATGCAGAGCAGCACAGCCATGCCGAGCAGCACAGCCATGCAGAGCAGCACAGCCATGCCGAGCAGCACAGCCATGCCGAGCAGCACAGCCATGCAGAGCAGCACAGCCATGCCGAGCAGCACAGCCATGCCGAGCAGCACAGCCATGCCGAGCAGCACAGCCATGCCGAGCAGCACAGCCATGCCGAGCAGCACAGCCATGCCGAGCAGCACAGCCATGCCGAGCAGCACAGCCATGCAGAGCAGCACAGCCATGCCGAGCAGCACAGCCATGCAGAGCAGCACAGCCATGCAGAGCAGCACAGCCATGCCGAGCAGCACAGCCATGCCGAGCAGCACAGCCATGCAGAGCAGCACAGCCATGCCGAGCAGCACAGCCATGCCGAGCAGCACAGCCATGCCGAGCAGCACAGCCATGCCGAGCAGCACAGCCATGCAGAGCAGCACAGCCATGCCGAGCAGCACAGCCATGCCGAGCAGCACAGCCATGCCGAGCAGCACAGCCATGCAGAGCAGCACAGCCATGCCGAGCAGCACAGCCATGCCGAGCAGCACAGCCATGCCGAGCAGCACAGCCATGCCGAGCAGCACAGCCATGCAGAGCAGCACAGCCATGCCGAGCAGCACAGCCATGCCGAGCAGCACAGCCATGCCGAGCAGCACAGCCATGCAGAGCAGCACAGCCATGCCGAGCAGCACAGCCATGCAGAGCAGCACAGCCATGCCGAGCAGCACAGCCATGCAGAGCAGCACAGCCATGCAGAGCAGCACAGCCATGCCAAGCAGCACAGCCATGCCGAGCAGCACAGCCATGCAGAGCAGCACAGCCATGCCGAGCAGCACAGCCATGCCGAGCAGCACAGCCATGCAGAGCAGCACAGCCATGCCGAGCAGCACAGCCATGCCGAGCAGCACAGCCATGCCGAGCAGCACAGCCATGCAGAGCAGCACAGCCATGCCGAGCAGCACAGCCATGCCGAGCAGCACAGCCATGCCGAGCAGCACAGCCATGCCGAGCAGCACAGCCATGCAGAGCAGCACAGCCATGCCGAGCAGCACAGCCATGCCGAGCAGCACAGCCATGCCGAGCAGCACAGCCATGCCGAGCAGCACAGCCATGCAGAGCAGCACAGCCATGCCGAGCAGCACAGCCATGCCGAGCAGCACAGCCATGCCGAGCAGCACAGCCATGCAGAGCAGCACAGCCATGCAGAGCAGCACAGCCATGCAGAGCAGCACAGCCATGCAGAGCAGCACAGCCATGCAGAGCAGCACAGCCATGCAGAGCAGCACAGCCATGCAGAGCAGCACAGCCATGCAGAGCAGCACAGCCATGCAGAGCAGCACAGCCATGCAGAGCAGCACAGCCATGCAGAGCAGCACAGCCATGCCGAGCAGCACAGCCATGCCGAGCAGCACAGCCATGCAGAGCAGCACAGCCATGCCGAGCAGCACAGCCATGCCGAGCAGCACAGCCATGCCGAGCAGCACAGCCATGCCGAGCAGCACAGCCATGCAGAGCAGCACAGCCATGCCGAGCAGCACAGCCATGCCGAGCAGCACAGCCATGCCGAGCAGCACAGCCATGCCGAGCAGCACAGCCATGCAGAGCAGCACAGCCATGCCGAGCAGCACAGCCATGCCGAGCAGCACAGCCATGCCGAGCAGCACAGCCATGCAGAGCAGCACAGCCATGCCGAGCAGCACAGCCATGCCGAGCAGCACAGCCATGCCGAGCAGCACAGCCATGCCAAGCAGCACAGCCATGCCGAGCAGCACAGCCATGCCGAGCAGCACAGCCATGCCGAGCAGCACAGCCATGCCGAGCAGCACAGCCATGCCGAGCAGCACAGCCATGCCGAGCAGCACAGCCATGCCGAGCAGCACAGCCATGCAGAGCAGCACAGCCATGCAGAGCAGCACAGCCATGCCGAGCAGCACAGCCTGTTGAGATAATAGGCAAAAGAGAGGGTTTGCACTAGCAACAATGGAAGTACAAATAGCTAACCCTAGAAGGGTTGTACTCGCTATAGAGCACCCCACTGCAGGCTAGAGCATAATATTCTGACACAGCCATGCCGAGCAGCACAGCCATGCCGAGCAGCACAGCCATGCCGAGCAGCACAGCCATGCCGAGCAGCACAGCCATGCAGAGCAGCACAGCCATGCAGAGCAGCACAGCCATGCAGAGCAGCACAGCCATGCCGAGCAGCACAGCCATGCAGAGCAGCACAGCCATGCAGAGCAGCACAGCCATGCAGAGCAGCACAGCCATGCAGAGCAGCACAGCCATGCAGAGCAGCACAGCCATGCTGAGCAGCACAGCCATGCCGAGCAGCACAGCCATGCCGAGCAGCACAGCCATGCCGAGCAGCACAGCCATGCCGAGCAGCACAGCCATGCCGAGCAGCACAGCCATGCCGAGCAGCACAGCCATGCCGAGCAGCACAGCCATGCAGAGCAGCACAGCCATGCAGAGCAGCACAGCCATGCAGAGCAGCACAGCCATGCAGAGCAGCACAGCCATGCAGAGCAGCACAGCCATGCAGAGCAGCACAGCCATGCAGAGCAGCACAGCCAGACGCTTCTCCCGGGTGTTTCTCCAGCACTGTCCGCAGCTGCACCAGCAGCATCTGGAGCGTGCCAACTGGAGTCTCAGCAGCCTCCATCCCTCGTGGTTCAAGGCTCTAAGGACCCTCACCATCCACCATTCCCACTGCACCGCCTCGGATTTCGAGTTTCTGGCCCATATCACACCGCAGCTGCAAGAACTCTCCCTCTACGTTCTCAACCAGGGAGGTTGCACCCTTAACTTTAGCTTCTCCGCTGCTCAATCCATCTACCTCGTTTTGGACCGGCACAGGGTGCACCTCAACCTCGCCCTCCCTGCCTCTCTCAAGTCTTTGTCCTTTTCAGCGGATTCTCTGGATATCGAATGCCGCTCTGACATGCCACTCTCCCTCGATTTCCTCATGCTGATTGGTCACAAGCGCCTCGTGGTGTCATCCCTCCCACTAGCATCAGCCAAAGACGTCTACCTGAACGCACCAAGCATGCATGAGGAGTCGTTTGATCCTCTCACCAACCCCCCTTGCCCCCTTCAGAGTTCTCCCAACCATCATTTCACCTCCCGGGAGCTTTATGCCTCTTCCGTATCTGAATCCTCATTAATCCGCGTGCTGCAATCAGTAGCGCCAACAGTGGAGGCACTGATGGTGCCGCACTCGCTGCCGATAGAGGCAGTGGAGGGCGAGTGGAGGGAGCTGCACCGCCTCTCAATCGGCGTGCGTGGGAGCAAGGCGGGCGGGGGAAGGTGCAGGACGACAGTGGAGGCAGCAGAGGCTCGTGTGGGCGGCATCAGCCGTTTGTACCCAGCACGAGCCTCGAATTCTTCCCCCACGAGGAGAAACGGTGGTGGGGAAGGAGGAGACAGAGGCAGCGGCAGTGGCTGCGGCGGCGGTGCCAGCAGCAGTGGCTGCGGCGGCGGTGCCAGCAGCAGTGGCAGCAGCAGCAGCAGCAGCAGCGTGGAAGGAACCGTGAAGCGCCAAGGCCTCCCTTCATCAATGCTCCTGCACTCCAGTCTCTCCTTTTCGCCACGCGCCGCTGCAACTCCGACACTCTCGTGTCCCTGCAAGCGGACTTCCCCTCCCTAGAGATCTACTGCATCATTGGCAGGTCGTTCTACTGGAAGCCCATTGGGAGCGAGCGGCTCAGCCCATCGTGTGTGTGAGTGCCAATCGGACTGCTGCAAAATCAAACGCTCCACGCTTTGAGACGGCTGAGGGTTCAAGTGGCGAGATGGACGTGGGCGGCTATATGGATGGCCTTCAATGCCTATGCCCTTGTGCAATGAAGGGGTGGTGAGTGTGGAGGGGAAAGTGTGTTGGGGTTACAAAAGGGTAAGTGGCAAGCGTTGGTGATGCGGTGGTGTGAGGCGATGATGGGTTGTAGCGATGGTGGTAATGAAACTGATGTTTTCAAGAAACTCTGGTTGGGAAGATGTGCAGCGTGCACACAGCGTGCGAAAAGCAAGCCTTGTTACAGGGTTGTTTTAATTTGATACAACAAAATCCTAGTTTCACATGTTCATCAAACGTAGTTGGCTGTAGCGAAAAGTGGGACACTTTCAAACGGTTACGACCGTGACTCGGCGCGGGAGGTGGTGGAAATCCCGGACCGTCGCTCTCTGCGAACTCCCAAGGTCGTTCATACGACAGCCATTCACGCGACACCCATTTACCGTATGTGACAGCCAGACAACTAGACGGACGAGAGAGCGAGCATGGATGCTGTGCAAGGCGAGCTAGAATGTCGTGTCGACACGTGGCGCTGTTGCTGGTGCCACTGGTCTCGAAACGCACCGATAGGAGCAAAAAGCACGGCATGCTTATTGCGACTTAACGCTTGCACTGACCTCGTCGTGCCTGTCCGTGAGGCATTCATTATTGATTCTGCGAGCACCGCGAGAGACGCGTAGGACGACCAGGAGAAAACGATCGAATATCAACCGTTCAGTGTTTGAGGTTAGCGACCTCAACTCAGCTTCGGGCGAATGAAATGCCGCCGGCAGTTGCGGGGGAATATTCCGTACGTATTTGAACCCGTGTATTAGCGAGCTCAACTTAACATCGAGATCTGTTAAGTAGGCTTTCTCCTTTACTGCTGCTCGCTGGAACATGTCTAACGATCCGTTGAGGGAGAATATGCCATACGTATGTGAACCCGTGTATTAGCGAGCTCAACTTAACATCGAGATCTGTTTTAGCCGAGACGAATCGACCACGTAGTAAGTTGTCGCAGGCCATGGCTAGCGATAGGAAGGAGGTGCTGGATAGGATGGCTGCTCTCGATCCGGCAACACCGTCTGATACTGCACATGATCGTGAGGTGAGGATGATGCCGCAGAGCAGACAGCGCATGTGATCCTCTGATTCCTCATCTCACTTCTGCTCCCCCCTCCCTCAAGGAGGCTTCCTACACTCATCTCCAATACTTCCCCATCCACCAGATTCTAGACGTGGTTGCACATAATCGTGAGGTGAGGATGATGCCGCAGAGCAGACAGCGCATGTGATCCTCTGGTTCCGCATCTCACTTCTGCTACCGCCTCGATTCCTCCTCTCTCATCTCCAATACTTCCTCCATCCTTCAGAGTTCAGACGTGGTTGCACATAATCATGAGGTGAGAATGATGCCGCAGAGCAGACAGTGCATCTGATCCTCTGGTTCCGCATCCCACTTCTGCTTCCCCCTCAATTCCTCTCTTTCCCCACCCACGCATCAGAGTCTAGACGTGGTTGATTTTCTGCCTGGCCCCATCTGGCACATCATTCTCCGCCACCTGCTGCTGCCACCGACTGATTCCACTGAGTTGCAGAACCAGGGCAACTCCTTGGCCGAATTTCAGGAGAGAGAAGGCAGCATCTCATCTGTTGATACCAGTCCGCTTTCTGCCAGCGAGCAGCATGAGGAGAACGCGAGGTGCTTCGGCTCCTCCTGGCCTCTGCTGCGCTGTGCCATGGCCAGCAAGAGGCTCCTCCACCATGTCATCTCCTTCTCCGTGAGTGTTCTGCCATTTCTTCATCCTATCATACTTCGTTTTTTCTACATAAGATTCCTCTACTATGTGTCAAAGGTCACAACATGGAAAGTTCTGCTCTCTGTGTGCAGGAGGTGGAGCCTATCTCCCTCGTACAGACCACTCACGATCCCGAGTGGAACAAAACGCTTTTCTGGTTTCTTCAACAGCCAGGTCACAAGTCCCTTGACCTCGATTTCAGGAGCCTGAAGCATCTGCAGACCATCGGTGATCTCATAGCATCTTCTGCTCACTCCCTCACAAGCCTAAGCCTAGAAATCGAGGAATCTGCCAAGGAAGGGGAAGTTAACCACTTCAGGACCAGAGAGATCTCTCCAGCCTTTCTTGAGAATTTTGGCCAGCTGCAGCGGCTGAAGCTAGGCTGTGGACGGTGGAGCTTGAATGCTGCATGGTTCAAGGCGCTAAGGAGTCTGAGCATCGAGTATGTGTCTAGCTACGGAGACGACTATTTTGTCCTGTCTTCCATCTCACCGCAGCTACACGAATTCTCACTTACCCTCACCAGTCATGGCTCTAACATCCTTGATTTCGAGTTCACTGTTGCTCGAGTCATTACACTCAGTTTTAGGAACCGAAAGCTCGAAGCCCGTTTCTCCCTTCCGGCCTCTTTAAAGACCCTTTCTCTCACAGCGGCGTCTCTTCACGTCGACTGCAAATGCGACAATCCTCTCGCTCTCGACTCTCTGAAACTAGTTGGCCGCCACCAGCTCTCCGTATCTTATTGGCGTCCGTTGATTTTGCAGTTTTGAACGGACCCGCCATCAACGACGACGTTGACCCGCCATCAATTCCGCTTTCAGGTTCCGCCTCTCGACTTGCCCTGACACAGCTGCTGAGCAGCATAGCGCCGACAGTGGAGACGTTGCTGGTGAAGCATGGCTGGCCTCTGGAGGACGTTGATGCAGAGTGGAGCCGCCTGCGCCTCCTTGGGATTGGCGTGAGGGGCAACAGCGCTGGTGGGGAGTGTGACATGGTGGCAGTAGAGGATGAAGAAGGTCCTTACGATTTGCCGAACAGGGGCAGCAGGCGAGAAGTGATCAGGCCTCCTTTCATCAATGCTCCAGCCTTGAAGTTTTTTTACTTTCCTACACGACAGTTTCAGCCTGAGACGCTGGCGTCGCTGCGCCGGCACTTCCCTTCCCTCGCATGGTACCACATTGTGGGTCGATTGTTTCTCTGGAAGGGGAAGGGGGAACAGCGAAGCAAGGAGCCCTTAATGTTGGCATTACCCTCTACCCAGGTACAGGATGATTGGACCATGAGGTTCCTTCAAACTTTTTGAGCTGCTTCTTGCCCGGAGAGGAGGCGGCGAAAGGTGAGGCAAGGTAGTGAGGGAATGAAATTGAGTGAGGGAGGTGTGTGAGGTGAGGTGCCTGCAGGGCTGAGCAGGAAGGGCGTTGTGGTGTGTATTGATTGTATTGATGATAATACTGGTGTCAATGTTGGGGTTTGTGTGGTGGGGTGGTGATGGTGGGATGGCCAGGGGGTGCTGGCAGTGCAGTTGGAAATGGTAGGCATGTGTGCTGTTTTGTATGGCTGCGGCGAGCGTTGATGCTGGTGACAGAGTTTGTGCTGCTGCTGGGGCGAGCGCTTGTGGCTGGTGTGACCAGCTCGGCACAGTAAAGCATAGAAAAGAGAATACCTACGATTGATTTGGATAGAAAACTCAAAGGCAGCAGAATTTTGGATCTGCGCAAACTCTCTTGAGTTAGCTAGACAAAACCTTTTTCAGTTTTGTTCGCTTGAAATTCAGAATGCATGTTTACTTGCGAGAATTTTCATGAAACCTAGTACAGTAACGCACCACCTACAGGAGTGCAGAATCAGGTAGCAAGTCATCTTGCCGCAGGTATTTTTCAAATGCTCAACTTGGACTTGAGGCTGTCTCGGGCCTCCTCGCGTTCTGCGGGTGAGGACGCCGTAACCGGGGTTGGGATTGGACCGTTTTCCAGCTCTATAGCTCAACGAAGGAGCCTTGCTAGCTGGATGGAAGAAACAGACGCAGCCGCGCGAATGACTTTCGTGGAGCCTCAGATCGTCTGCCCGAATGGGACAGGATCTGCCACGTCAGGCACATGAAGTCCGAGAACCAAACTCCAGCTACCATGGGAGCCGAGGCAACATGCGGCGTGTCGCAGTTAATTGTTTCGAGGGAACATGAGTGTGACAGAAACGACTTGCATCCTTGTTTCGCTCTGAAGGCGAGTTGCTCAGAGGCACACCGCGGAACGAACCGCGGGACAAGTACCGCGACGTCCGCGCGTCTTGTCCACGTCGCTCAGCAGCCTCCCATGCCTCGCCGTGTCGCGCTGCCACGGACCTGGTCAGCCAGTCGCGCCGCTGTTTACTGGCACCGCCATGGCGACGACAGGCGAACCTCGTGCGTACCCCACCCTGACGAGTGAGGCTAGGGTTTCAAGGTTATTGCGAGTACGGGACGAGTGGTGCAGTGCGACGACCGCGTGGCTTCGAGTATCACAGATTCAGGTCAGCAACAATTCATCGCCAGACGGACTCTGCTTCGCTTGCCAATAGCTTTACCGCTTGTTGCGGAGTCAATCATAGCTTTCCTATGTTCCACTTTCTTGATTCCCTCGGTACTCAATTGTCCGACCACTCGTTGTAGCCTAGACGAACCCAATCTCGTGGTTGTCACGGTGCCGATGGCCTCCAGCCATGGGGATGCGGTGCTGGAAGAGTTGACTTTTGAGTCGACTCAAAAGTCAACTCACGGTGCCGATGGCCTCCAGCCATGGGGATGCGGTGCTGGAAGAGTTGACTTTTGAGTCGACTCAAAAGTCAACTCACGGTGCTGATGGCCTCCAGCCATGGGGATGCGGTGCTGGAAGAGACCATGGGTGCTCCCCGAACGCCACAGCCCTTCCGTTTCCTGCCAGCACAGAGCAGCATGCGGAGGCATTGCGGAGCTTCGGCCCGTCCTGGCCTCTGCTGTTCTACGCCATGGCCAGCAAGAGGATCCTCCACCATGTCGTCTCCTTCTCCGTGAGTCATCATCATGCGCTGCTTCCCTTCCCGCATTCCACCGTACAACCTTCTTTGATATTACTCATCTCAGAAAATCGTAAATCTTGCTCTCTGGGTAGGCAAGCTGTATGGTCATGGATAAGCTCCTCTGCCATCTCTGAGTCCTTCGCTGTGTCCTTCGCTGTATCCTTCTGTGAGTCCTTCGCTGTGTCCTTCGCATCGCTCTGTGTGTGCAGGTGCTCGAGCCCATGACCCTCCTATTCAACACCCAAGACTCCTGGAGGTCAGGAATGCTCTCCTTCTTCCTCAGGCACGCCGCTCACACGTCCCTTGATCTCCTCCTCAACAGCTCCCAGGATCTGGACACCATCGGTCGTCACTTGAAACCCTCTGTGCGCTCCCTCACAAGCCTGTGCTTCCTCTTATCCGCCTCACCACATCTGCGTGAACTCGCTCTCGCCTCCTCCAGCCCTGGCTCTGGCACCACCACGCTCGATTTTGAGTTCACCACTGCTCGAGCTATCTCAGCTCAGTCTGGTTCCACAATCAATCGGTTCGTTTTGCCGTCGCTCCTTCTTTGAAGTCCTTCTCTGCCGCTGCCAAGTTTCTCAACGTCCACTGCACATGCGAAAGCCCCCTCTCTCTCTCTCGACTTGCTTCTGATTGGCCGTGCACGTCTCTCCGTTCTTCACTCCCATTGGCTTCTGCCAAAACCGTATACTTAAACGATTCAACCACCCTATATCCCTTCACCCAGTTGCTCCGCAGCATAGAGCCGACAGAGGAGACGCTTATAATGAGGCCTGATATGCCTCTGGTGGGCGTGCATGCTGAGTGGAGCTGCCTGAGCCGCCTTGCCATTGGTGTGGAGCGATTCAGCACTGGGGAGGGTGGGGGGGGGGGGGGGGGGGGGGGGGGGGTAATTACGATTCAAAACCGCTCATTTTAACAACTCTTATTTTTTTAGGTGCTCCGATGGGGATCAAGGGAGCAGCAGCAGCAGCAGCAGCAGCATGATCATCAATGCTCCGAAGCTGGAGAGCAATTTCGTTGCCACTTACAAGTGGCAGCCCGGCACACTGGTTTCTCGTCGCAAGCAGTTCCCATCCGTGGCATCGTACCGCATCACTGATCAGTCAATACGCTGGTAGCGGGAGGGAGAGGAGCGGTGCAATGGGGTCACATTGAGTCACTGAGGTAGCACGAGATCAGATTGTGTCACTGCAATAGCATGGGGCCAGCCAGATCGTGTCACTGAGATAGCAAGAGATCAGATCACGATGTCCGTGCCATGATGAGTCAGGGCATGGTGCAGTGCAGGCAGAATGATCCGATTAACCCATGATTGTTTCTTCAAACCAGGCAGCTCCCTTAGTATTTCAACTTTATAAGCCTCATCTGCATCATCAAGTTGTGAGTCAACCCAGAACTAGTCTACACCAATAAATGAATGCTAAAGGCTGTAAAAGCAGTAAGTCCTCCAGAGGCTCCCTTCCTACTGCAGCTTGTTATGCCCTTCTCTTTCCCAATAAATTACCTCCGCTGACATGTCAACACCATTTTATGCATTCTAGACGCCATAAAAACAATAACCCCTCCAGATGGCCCCTTTGAATTTCAGCATATAAGCCTCATCTTTATCAACAGTGTACCCTTCAACCAGCTCCCTACTCACACTCTGCATTTTCTCCCTCACATTCTTCGGCCGCTTCTCCCCAAAGCCGTTGCTCGAAACGCCGCTCCTCCCCTTCCTCACATGCACCACAGGGATCTCGGTCAGCTCCTTCCCATGCTTTTCCCAGTAGAAAGAACGACATGCAATGCAGTACAGGGCGAGGGAGGGACAGGATTCGCGTAGGGAAGCAAGGGTGTGCTGCTCGCATGTGCGGGTGGGGACAAAGATTGCTTGCAAGTTCGGAGCCCTGATAAGAGGGGGTTTCCCTGCTTGCACCCCCTCCTCCTCCTCCCCATCCTCCTCCTCCTGCTCCGCCTGTTGCCGCCATGGCTGCTGCTGTTGCTGCTGCCGCTGCTGCTGCTGCTGCTGCTGCAAAATCCTCTGCCTTTGATTCCGCTCTTGAAACTCCTCCACTGTAACCTCCTTCTCACCATCATCCTCACACTTCTCAACCTCCCAATCCACCTCAAACTGCTCCTCACTCTCCACGACAATCCCAAGGCTGCGCAGGCAGCTCCACTCCCCACCCACCTGCTCTACAGGCAGCCCATGCCTCACTATAAGCACCTCCACTGTCCGCGCTATAGCACCCAGCCATGGAACCCAGGAGGACTCAGGGGAGCTGCTGCGGTGCGAGCTCTGCCAGTCAGGGGACGGAGCAGGGGTGACCCAGTGGGAAGAACAAGCATCATCGCGGGAATGCCAGTCTCTAGGAGGGCCGTTGAGGTAGGCCACTCGGGCCAATGCGAGGCGGAGGGAGGAGATGACGAGACGCTCCTGGCCGTAGAGTGAGAGGTGGTCGAGACAGAGAGGAGCGCTGCTCTTGCAGGAGAGGACCAGGCGTTTGGCCACGGCTGAGAAGGCCTTGAGCGAGCGGGAGAGGGTGAGGAAGAGCGTGAGGCTACTCTGTGCAAAGTAGAAGCAAAGGACGCGAGCCGATGAGCAGTCGAAACAGAATCGGCTGCTGTCATCACTCCTAGGCCCGGAGGATGCTTCATCCAAACTCCAGCGCTCATAGAACGTAAATTAAGTGAGCCGTGGCGTGATCGTGGCGAGATACTTGAAATCCACGTAACTCCAGTCCACGTGCTTGAGAGTCAGACTGCGCAGCGCCTTGAACTCGTCCGCCCAGCTGTTTTGTAGAACCCACTTGCCCCGGCCCAGCTTCAGCCGCTGCAGACGTGGACAGTCCAAGTACTGGGTCCAGTATTCCTCCTCTACCTCATCCCTAACGCCCTGTTCGACTGTGTCAAACTGCTGGGCAGAGTCCACACAGCCGCGCAGCTTGAGGCTGAGCGAGGTGAGGGAGGAGAACTGCCATTGGTCCTGCGAGCAGAGCGTGTGGAGCTGCATGATGTGCGTGTAGGTGAGGGCCAGGGATCTGAGGCCGCGCCAGTGCAGGAAGAAGGCAACGCTCCTCTCCCACTGCGGGTGCAGATCGTTGTAGACCAAGGCGATGGGGTGCTGGGCGTGCAGAGATGGATGGGTGCGAATGGAGGAGAGACTATGAAAGTGGGGGAGGAGCACGATGTGCGTGTAGGTGAGGCGAGGGACCTGAGGGTGCAGATCGTTGTAGACCAAGGAGATGGGGTGCTGGGCCTGCAGGGATGAAGAAGCGATGGAGGAGAGAGTGTGAAGCATGTCCTAGAGAGGCCGGCACTCTTCTAAGTGACTTTTGAGTCGACTCAAAAGGTCACCTCTGCATGTCCTAGAGAGGCCAACGCTCTTCTCCCACTGCGGGGGCAGATGGTTGCAGACCACCAGAGCGATGGGGTGCTGGGCCTGCAGAGAGGAACAAGCGATGGAATGGGATGGGATGGGAATTTCTGGTGTTTGATTGGTTGTTGCACTTTTGAACCGTCTGGACCCGCTCCAGCAGATAGAGATCCAAATCATGTTGGATTTCAGATGGCATGCGTTTCAGAACCTATGACCCTTGTCAGCAGTTAGCGCGCTCAAATCCCGAGTGCAACGGGTAAAGAAGCTGAGATAAGGCACACTGAAGGGTATTGGGCTGAAAATGGGCTGGATATGTGGTGGCTGCGGCAATTCCCATATATTCAACGGGTCTGATGAGGAAAAGAGGTGAGCACTCACAGCCAAAAATACGAACATCAAGTCAAGAACAGGCAGAGCAGCACTCACGGAGAAGGAGAGGACGAGGATGAGGAGCTTTTTGCTGGCCATGGCGCAGCACAGCAGGGCCCACCCGCTGCCATAGCTCTTCACGTTCTTCCGGTGCTGCCCGGCCGCTGAGAAGTCAGGGTCCACAAATTTCATGGGCAGGTTTCTGCCCGCTGGGGGCTGTGATGTGGCGGTGAGATACCAGGGCGTCTTCTCTCTGCCGCGCACGAGGGGGGTGTCGGGGTGGGAGGAGCCGGGCGGCAGCAGCAGGCAGCGGAACACCCGGTGCCAGAGAGACGCCGGCAGCAGGTCCATGGGATTGCGTGGGGCGGCTGCTGGAAGGGGGTGAGCGGTGAGATGGGTGGGAAGAGAGAATATGCAGGGAGTGAAGTGAAGGGGGAAAGTGAGTAGCTGGCAGCGTGTCTATGGGATCGCAGCCCACCGTTGGAGCTGGCGGATGGGGTGGGTGACATGCGTGAGATGCTGCATCTCTACCCGAGGGTGGGAGCACACGCAAAGGGCCTTAGATTTGAGTTGGTTTGAACGATATCTTTGCGTGATCTTCTCTGGCTTTTCCATTCATGCACTTCTCAGAGCACCCACCAACCCACCAAGGCCAAAAAGGCTCGATGGTGCAAACCATGAGGGTGACGCAAGTGGAGATGCGATATCATATTTTTAAAGTAACTAATTTCTTGAAACTCTTTCCAAGCGACAAAGAGGAATGCCACGGAATGCCAGCGAGAGTTATCTAGTAAGCAGGGAGGTAAAGTCTAGGTGCTTCTCGTTCCGAGCGAGAAGGCAATGGCGTGCACAGTGGGATGGCGTCACGAAAAAAATGCAGTCCTTGCCTCCTGAGTCCGCATTCCTCTTCTGTCTCTTCTCCTCCCGTTGCTCGCGCTCTCTCAGCTCGGCCGTCACAGTACGCTGCACCGATGCCATGGCTATCGAACAATCATGGTAGTAACTACTTTAATTTACTCAAAAGTCGTGCATATGGACTCTTCATTAGACTAAGCGTACGTTACCGCGACTCTAGCTGCCTAATATCCAGCTTTCGGCTGTCGACCAGCTCTGGCATGGACCTATACGTAGAAAAACTACATTCCTCGTAACTATTTTTGTGGTTCCGCAGGACTTGTGAACTCGCCAACTCTTCGCCTTTGGGAGAGAGGGCGGGTCATACTTTTTTGTTCGGAGTTCGTTTTACGCGGTTTGAAACGGTAAGCTACGTTGGGGGGCGGTTGTCGGATTTCACCCCTTTAGATCGTTGCGCACCAGAGTGAACCTTTCAAAGTCAAATGCAAGCAGATGAGTATCTGGGGGGAGAGACCCCAGCATTCACGCCCTGCTCTCCGCATCAAGTAAAGCTGCATGGACACGGTATGGTGTTATTTCGCTAACGGGGCCATCCATTTCATTGACAACGTGAAGCGTTTGACGATTTCAGGGACAGAGTCCGTTTACCGTGCATTGAGACACCTTCAAATGGGTATTCGGGTTTCTCTTGCAGCATGCTGAAGGTTACCTAGAGCTTTCGAGTTGAGCGATATGTGCGAAGTTTAGCATCTCGACGACAGCGACGCGATAAATTCGACTCATGGCTAGCCCTGCAAGACGAAGATGCAGTATGCCCTGGTATTGCTGATGGCTACGCTGATATCTTCAGTTAATTTCATAAGGACGCTAGCTCAAATAGATCATGTCGACGCGTGTTTAACCACTAGCGGCGGAACCAGGGGTTGCATGACCAAAGAGTGTGACATTCTTCAATGCCGCTTAGAAACGAAATCCGAGGAACCTCAAAGCTGCTAAAAAAATCGTCTGTCCAATGAGACCGTTGCAGCTGCCACTTGTCAGCCACTAGAAGTCTGGGAATTCAGCGCCAGCTGTCGGAGCCAATGCAGCAGCATGCTTATCGCTGTTCATTATTCCAGAATAGGCATCCCGCGAAGCACCCGTCGGAACCCCGGTCCTCGCGTCTTGTCCATTCCTTCCGCCGCTGCTCAGCATCCTCCCTGCCTCGTCGTGTCGCGCTGCTCGCCGCAGCTGCCGCCATGACGACTACAGGCCATCCTCGTGGTGGCCGAACCTCACAGGCGAGGGTTGTCGGGTTCTCAGGATGGTTTTTCTTTTAGGCGCCTAAGAAAATCTACCCTGACAGGAGAGGGTAGTATGGTTCTCAGGATGGTCTAACGATGCTGGGAGTACGGTGAGCGGCGTGTGCGAAGGCTTCGAGCTTCAGATATTTAAGGTCGCGCGGAAGATTTTCGGACTCAATTCACCGTCAGCTAAAACAACGCCAGGTGGACTCGATCTTAGTGAGCACTACCTAGGAGTTTTCGCCTCGCTTTCTTCATACCTCCTGTGTCTCGTAGTTGTCCTTCAATCTGTCCAGAGTTCCGTTTCTGTGTCCGAACATCTGGCGACCTTCGTAATCCTGGACGACTTGAATCCCGTAGCTGTCACCAGGCCCATGGGCTCCAGCCATGAGGATGCGGTGCTGCTGGGAGACAGCATGGCTGCTCCCAAACTCACACAGCCCTCACAGCCCTCTGCTGCTGAGAATTCTCACCAGGTGAGCGTGATTCTATAAACAGTGGCTCCTCACGCATCCTTCCCTAGTCCCCTCCTATGCTCTTTCTACGCTCTCTTCCTCTCAACTCCACTAATTCTGATCTCCCCACTCATCAGAGTGTGGACGTGGTTGATCTGCTGCCCGGCCCCATCTGGCACATCATCTTCCGCCACCTGCTGCAGCCACCTGCCGATTCCGCTCATAAGCAAAAACAGGGCGACTCCTTGGAGGAGATATCATTGCGGGGAGCAGTGAGCAGCTTGTGTGACTTCGTCGCTCTGCAGCAGCAGCAGCCTGATTCGCCTTTTTCATTCGAGATTGAAGAGGACGACCAATACTGTCCCATTATGAACCCACTTTCTGACAGGGAGCGGTATGAGCAGAACGCCAGGCGCTTTGGCTCCTCCTGGCGCCTGCTAAGATGTGCCATGGTCAGCAAGAAGCTCCTCCGCCATGTCATTTCCTTCTCCGTGAGTGACCTGCTTGATTCTCATTCAACAGTAAAGGTCTCTCGTGCACTGTTTCTCATGGTATGATGGGAAATCGGGCTCTGGCTTTTCCTCTCTTTTGCGGATGCAGGAGGTGGAGCCCATATCCCTGAATTTCAACGATAAGGATCTCCGTTGGAACCGAGGAAAACCTTTGGTTCCTCAAACAAAGAGGTCACAATTCTCTTAGCCTCAGTTTCAGCAACGTCAAGGATCTGGAGAACCTCCACCGGCTGATGGCATCCTCTTTGCACTCCCTTACCAGCGTGTGCCTAAGCGTCAAGGATAGTTTAACCAGTTTCAAATCCATCCACTTCGAGCACCTCAATTTGGCCTTTCTTGAGGAGTTTAGTCAGCTGCAGCGGCTGAAGCTAGGCCGTGGGCTTTGGCAACTAAACAACGTGAAAGCAGCATCGTTGAAGGCGCTATGGAGTCTGACCATTGAGCATTTGAGAAGCTGCAGCTATGATTATAACTTTCTGTCTTCCATCACACCGCAGCTGCATCAATTCTCCCTCTCTTACCCTGGACGTCTCATTCCTAGCCTCAAACTCGACTTCTCTGTTGCACGTGTTATCAGAGTCAGTACTGCTCGCCAATCGCTTGCCGTTGACTTCTCTCTCCCTCCCACTTTAAAGGAACTCTCTGTCATAGCCGACGAGCTGAAGGTCAACTACGCGTGCGCCAGCCCTCTCCATCTTGACTCCTTGATTCTAATAGGCCACCTGCAGCTTGAAGTATATTCACTCCAGTTGGCTTCCGCAAAAACAGTTTACTTAGACGGACCAGACACCCAAGGAAAGCACCAGCATATGGGGGATATGCTTTCCTTGACGCAGATACTCAGCTCCATAGCGCCAACTGTGGAGACGCTTATAGTGAGGCATGGCTTACCGCTAGAGAAGGTGTTTTCAGAATGGACCTGCCTGCGCTCCCTCGGGATTTGCATGAGAGGCAGGAGAGTCGGTGGTGGTTGGAATGATGACAAGGTTACAGTGGAGGATGCTGAACGTTTGTTTCTCCACCAGAGGATGGGCATTGGTGGAGGAGGAGGAGAGAGAAGCACCAGCAGCAGCAGTGAGCACCAAGGCACTCGCCCCCCTTTCATCAATGTTCCTAAGCTACGGTCGATTTTCTTCGCCACGCGACACTGGCACTCTGGATTCTCTGCGCAGGCAGTTCCCTTCTCTGGCGCTCTACTGCATTGTTGGGCGGTCGTTCTCGTGCGAAGGGGAGGGGGAGAACTGGAGCAAAGAGCCTGTAGAGCAGGTCAGGCCAGATCATCATGATACTCCCAATGAGCCTGCAGTGTGGGTGTGGTCAGGACGTGCCCCACACACCGTAAAGCAGGAATTCAGGGAGCAGGATAATAAGATCATGCAAGTTCTTCAAAATCTGCAAGTTCTTTGAACCACTTCGTGTTTTGAGAGAAGGGCAAGTCCAGCCAAGGTAGTGAGTGGGTCGAACCATGGTATGTAGGTGTGAGGGGTGCATGTGAGGGGTGTGTGCACGGAAGAGCAGAAAGGGTGCTATATTTTGTGCTGTTTGCATTGGTGGCAATACTTGCCTGAAGAGTGGTGTGGTCGTGGGGGCGTGGTGGAATGGATGGGTGCAATTGGTGATGGGCAGAGCGATGGATGTTAGCCTTAGGGTGGTAGTAACGGTGGATATTTGCACTGGCAACTGCAATTTATGTCGCATCCACTCTGCATTCTCTCCCTCCCGTTCTTTGGTTCCTTCTGTGCATCTTCCTCCATTGGCATGTCTACACGACTGCATGCTAGGGGCTATAATAGCAATATATCCTCCTGAGGTTCCCTTCGTACTTCAGCATAGAAGCCTCATCTGTATCAGTGAGTTTTGAGTCGACCCAGACCTTGACCACACCAATAAATGAACGCTAGAGGCTGTAACAGCAGTAAGTCCCCCAGAGGCTGCCTTTGTACTTGAGCATATAAGCCTCATCCGCATTAAGTTTCCAGTCGACCCAAAGCTTGATCACACCAATAAACGAATGCTAGAGGCGGTAGGAGCAGTAAGTCCTCCAGAGGCTGCCTTTGTACTTGAGCATATAAGCCTCATCTTTATCAACACTATACCCTTCAACCAGCTCCCTATTCACACCGTGCATCTTCTCCCTCACATTCTTCGGCCGCCTCTCCCCCCAACTATTGCTTGACACACCGCTCCTCCCCTTCCTCACATGCACCACAGGGGTCTCAGCCAGCTCCTTGCCCTGCTTCTCCCAGTAGAAAGAACGACATGCGATGCAGTACAGGGCGAGGGAGGAATATGATTCGTGAAGGGAAGCAAGGGTCTGCTGCTCGCATGTGCGGGTGGGGAAGAAAATAGTTTGCATATTCGGAGCCCTGATGAATGGGGGTTTTCCTGCTTGATCCTCTTCCTCCTCCTCTTCCTGCTCCTCCTGCTGCCGCCACGGCTGCTGCTGCCGCTGCTGCTGCTGCAAAAGCCTCTGCCTTAGATTCCGATCCTGAAACTCCTCCGCTGTAACCTCCTCCTCACCATCATCCCGCCGCCTCTCCACCTCCAGATTCACCTCAAACCGCTCCTCACTCTCCACGACAATCCCAAGGCTGCGCAGCCTGCTCCACTCTGCATCCACCAGCTCTAGAGGCACCCTATGCCTCACTATAAGCACCTCCACTGTCCGCGCTATAGCGGCCAGCCAAGCAGTCCAGGAGAATTCAGGCAAGCCGCTGCGGTGCAGACGTTGCCAGTCAGTGGGAGGTGCAGGGGATGTCCAGCAGGTGGAGTAGGCATCATCGCGGGAGTGCTGGTCGATGGGAGGGCCGTTGAGGTAGGCCACTCGTGCGGATGCGAGGCGGAGGGAGGAGATGACGAGCCGCTCCTGGCCGTAGAGTGAGAGGTGGTCGAGATAGAGAGGAGCGCTGCTCTTGCAGGAGAGGACGAGGCGTTTGGCCACGGCTGAGAAGGCCTTGAGCGAGCGGGAGAGGGTGAGGAAGAGCGTGAGGCTGCTCTGCGGGAAGAAGAAGCGCAGGACGCGAGCTGATGAGAAGTCGAAACAGAACTTGGCAAAGCCGGCACCAGGGCCGAGGGACGGCCGGTCCAAATTCCACCAATCATAGAGCGCGAACTCCGTGAGCTGCGGAGAGATCTTGCCCAGATACTCAAAATCCACGTTGCTCCAGTCCACGTGCATGAGAGTCAAACTGCGTAGCGACCTAAACTCATCCGCCCAGCCGTCCGCAAGGACCCATTTCCCCCGGCCCAGCTTCAGCCGCTGCAGGTCCGGGCAGAGGAAGTAACAGTCCCAGTAGTCCCGCTCCACATCACACCGGTCGTCCTGCTCCACGTCGTCAAACAGCTGGGAGCAGTCCAGAGAGCCGCGCAGCTTGAGGCTGAGCGAGGTGAGGGAGGCGAAGGACCACTTGCGCTGCGAGTCGAGGGTGTCGAGCTGCATGATCTGCGTGTAGGTGAGGGCGAGGGATTTGAGGCCCTGCCAGCGGAGGAAAAAGGCGACGCTCTTCACCCACTGAGGATGCAGGTCGCTGTAGACCAGAGCGATGGGGTGGTGGGCCTGCGGAGGGGAGAGGGATGAGAGAAGGAATGGAGACACTGGAAGGTTGTTCAGATCCTGATCTGAAGCGGGACTCAGAGAAGGCGACGCTCTTCACCCACTGAGGATGCCGGTCGCTGTAGCCTAGATCGATGGGGTGGTGGGCCTGCGGAGAGGGATGGGTGGGAATAGAGGAGAGTGTACGCAGGCTGGTTGGCGGGAAGATGTGGCGATTGCATCAATGCCCAAGTGCAGCAGCCCAGTCGAGGTTACGAGAAGAGCAAAGCACTCACAGCAAGGGCTACTGAAGCACACCACATTTCCTTTCCATGTGCAAATCAGCGCAGCAAGGCACTCACGGAGAGGGAATGGACGAGGTTGAGGAGGCTCTTGCTGACCATGGCGCAGCACAGCAGCGCCCACCCACTGCCATAGCTCCTCACATTCTTCTGGTGCTGCCCGGCTGCTGTGAAGCCAGGGTCCACGAATTTCACGGGCAGGTTTCTGCCTGCTGGGGGCTGCATGGTGGCGGTGAGATACCAGGGCGTCTTCTGTCTGCCGCGGACGAGGGGGTTGTCGGGGTGGGAGGAGCCGGGCGGCAGCAGCAGGCAGCGGAACACCCGGTGCCAGAGAGACGCCGGTAGCAGGTCCACGGGATCACGAGGGGTGGCTGCTGGAAGGAGAGATGGGTAAGATGGGTGAGACGGGTGGGACGGGCGAGATGGGTGGGATGGATGGGATGGGTGGGATGGGTGAGATGGGTGAGATGGGTGGGATGGGTGGGATGGGTGAGATGGGTGGGATGGGATGGGATGGGATGGGATGGGATGGGATGGGATGGGTGAGGATGGGTGGGATGGGTGAGATGGGTGGGATGGGATGGGATGGGATGGGATGGGATGGGATGGGATGGGTGAGGATGGGTGAGGATGGGTGGGATGGGATGGATGGGATGGGATGGGTGGGGATGGGTGGGATGGGGATTGGTGGAGGGAGTGAAAGGGGAAGGTTAGACGCGTCTACACGTCTACTATGGAATCACGGGGGGGCACGACTCGAAGGAGAGATGGGTGGGATTGATGAGATGGATGAGGTGGGGGAATGGGTGAGATGGGTGAGATGGAGCGAGCGTGATGAGGACGGGAGAACGGAGGAGAGAGAGAGAGGGTGATAAACTCAGGGACGAAATATGGTAAATGTAAAGAACCTCGTTTCGTGGAGTGCTCAGCCCGAGCACTTCTCTCGGAGAGCCCAGAAAGTATCACCAAGACAAAAAAATGCTCGATGGTGCAAATGTCACCATGAGAGAGGCACAGTCGAGACGCGATATTATTATTACCTATCCAACGAACTTATACTTTGAAACACTTGGCACTATGAGTAACAGAAAGGAGGGGAGAGAGGACGATGCAAAAAGTGGTGTAGGATGAAAAGGATTGGACTTGGAAGAATATTGGCAACAAGGACGAAAAGAAGCTAGGTTGGCACTATCAACAAGACTAGGCAAGAATGGTGCATTGAATGAAACAGTTGGGTACAAGTAGCAAACCCTAGTTGGGGTTGTACCCCATATTGGCTACCCCACTACAGCCTACCAACATGTAACACATTACAATTTAACACACCCCCATAGGCAAAGTGGGGGAGAACAAAGGGTCACAAGACCAGTCCAGCAAAGCAACGCAAGCCCAGGGTGGATCACAACGTCACCACACTCCGAGCACAAGCAAAGGCCACAAGGCCAGTTCACATGCAGTGCTAGATATAGTACAAGACAAGCAACACAGTGATCAAAACCTAGCAAGCAAGCACCAAGATATATATAAAGTACAGTACAAAGAAAGTCAAGCAGTAAGCAAATGAGGGAATGTGGACACAAGGCCTAAAGAAGTACAGTGCCGCTGATGATCACTAGGCGGGAGCGCCTTGGTGAAGATATCAGCAGTGTTGGCCTTCGAGTCCACGTACACAAGCCGAAGCTGACCGCGCTGCTGCAGCTCTCGAGCAAGAAAGTAGCGAAGAGCAATGTGCTTCGTCCTGTGCTCCTGACACAAGGCAAGGGCCGCCTTGTTGTCGCCGTACAGAACTGGAGGAGAACTAGGCCGCTCTCCCAAGTCAGTCAGCAGGTAGGTGAGCCAGCGTAACTCCTGTGCAGCCATGGCCGTGGCGTAGATCTCAGCCTCACAACTAGAGCTGAGAACAGAAGAAGAGCGGGTGGACCGCCACGAGACAGAACCAGAGCCAAGGCTGAAGGTGTAACCCTGCGACGACCGCTGCGTAGCCAGGTCGTCCACCCAAGAAGCGTCCGAGTGACCAGTGAGGACAACTCTGTCGCGTCCTCCAAGCACCAGCCCCATGCCTGATGTACTGCACAAGTAACGCAGTACCCTCTTAGCAGCCTCCCAGTGCTCTCGCCTGTGTCTCCCAGGCGCAACGTAACGAGCAAGGATGCTAAGAGGGTACGCGAGGTCAGGTCGCGTGCAAGTCATCAGGTACATGAGGCAGCCTACAAGCTCTGGGTACGGGCCACTCGGCTCTACGGACTCGTCCGAAGGTGGAGCTGAGAGCGAGTGGCTGGTAGCCAGAGGTGTGGCCTGTGGTGAGGAGAACTGGAAGCCGAAGCGCTGAAGGACCTGCTGCACCATGTGTGACTGAGTCAGAGTAATGGTGCGGCGTGCTCTGTCCCGGGTGATCTGCAAGCCAAGGTAGCTACGCAGCTCACCCAGGTCAGTGCAGGTGTGTCTCTTCTGCAGCTCCGACTTCACACGAGCGAGTGCCTCAGTGTCAGCAGTAGCAAAGACCAAGTCGTCGACGTACACAAGGATGTAGAACGGCGGCAGCGACGTGTCTGTGCGCAGGAACAGTGACGGGTCAGCAGTGGAAGGAGCAAACCCAAGGGCCGCAAGTGTAGTCCTCAGTGTGTCGTGCCACTCGCGTGGCGCCTGGCGGAGACCGTAGACTGGCCGCCGGAGGCTCCACTGGGTACCAGGAGGAAACGACCCAGTAAAGCCAGGTGGGCGGCGCAGCCAGATCTCCTCGTGCAGGCTGCCCTGCAAGAACGCTGTGCTGAAGTCAAGAGAGTGAAGCTCGTAGTCACGCTGAGCGGCAACGTGCAGCAGAACCCGAAGAGTGGTCATCTTCGGGGTGGGGGAGAAGGTCTGGAAGAAGTCAACCCCCTGACGCTGACTGAAGCCTCTAGCAACGTAACGAGCCTTGAAGACAGGTGGAGAACCTGGCGGCCGCTTCACCCTGAAAATCCACATGCCATCGACGATGTTCGCCCCAGGAGGGGGAACCTCGTCAACGTAGGTGCCTGTGGACTTCCAGGATGCCATCTCTGCGTCCATGGCTGTCTGCCACTGAGAGGAGTAGGGGCCCGAGATCGCCTCTGCGTAAGAGCGCGGAGTGGGGATGTCTAGTGCATCCGGGTCTCCCTCAGGGGCAAGCAGCCAGGCCACGAGATGAGGTACAGCAGCCGCAAGAGAGTCAAAGTCCTCCTGCCTGTCCTCAAGGACGTCCGTGCCAAGAGCACACTCACCCCCGACGGACGGAGGACAGACAGACTCAGACTCAGCAACAAGACTGGCGGCGTAGTCTAGACGACAGGCAGCAGCAAAGTCGACAAGCTCAGCGACCAGGGCAGACGCAGCAGCAGACTCAAAAGACGGGTCAGTGACAACAGTGGCGAGAAGACGGGTAACAGTAGGGTGGGCAGCACGAACACTGTCAGACTCAGGGTCGGGAACGTCAGGAAGAGAAGACGCAGGAGGAGACGGTAGGGGGACACGCTGTGGACCAGTGGAAGGACGAAGGGCCATAATGTGCGTGCCAGGAACAGGAGGAGGACGCGGACGCGCGACACGACGACCAGTGGGACCAGTGCGCGCAGTGCGAGCAGTGCGAGCAGCGCGAACAGGCGAGGCAGGACGAGACACAGGCTCACGACGCTCCGTAAGCGAGTCCGGCTGTGCAGTGTAAGGCACAGGAGCAGGGAGGGGGGAGCCAGGCTGGAGGGGAAGGCCAGTGGAAGACGGGAGGGAAAGAACCTGGCGAAGCACCGTGTCAGGCGGTGGCAAAGCCGACGGCGACGGTGGAGCGAAGAACAGGCGCGACGGCGGAGCTCCGCCAGTACCTCCAGCACCCGCAGCACCAGAAGCACCAGTACCAGCGCCCCCCGCCGCAACACCCCAGAGCCGGCGACGTCAGCACCAGAGGCCCCAGCAGCGGCAGACCTCCCCTCGCCAGCACCTCCAGAACCAGCAGGACCAACACCTCCAGGACCGTCAGCTCCAGTGTCGTCAGCTCCAGCAGCTCCAGCACCTCCAGGAAGAGCACCCCCAGAGCCGGCAGCTCCAACTCCGCTAGGACCGTCAGCTCCAGAGGCCCCAGCTCCAGCAGCTCCAGCCTCAGTGCTCCCAGCCCCGGCAGCTCCAGTACCCCCAGTACGAGCACCTCCAGGACGAGCAGCTCCAGAACCTCCAACTCCAGCGGGACCACGAGGAAGGCGAAAGCGCTGGACGTACCAGTCACGAAGCTGCTGCTGTGTGAGAGGCTCCCGGAGAGACGGCTCAGCACCCCGAACCGGAGCACCCCCAGACGCAGCAACCCCAGGCTCCGCAGGCTCAGTCGCAGCACCCCCAGGCTCAGGACCCCCAGACTCAGCACCCCCAGGCTCAGCACCCCCAGACTCGGCACCCCCAGGCTCAGTACACCCAGGCTCCGTACACGCACGCTCAGCACCCCCAGTCGCAGCACCCCTAGGCTCAGCACCCCCAGGCTCCGTACTCTCAGGCACCGTACCCTCAGCTCCAGCACCCTCAGTCCCAGCACCCGCAGCCCCAGCACCCCCAGGCCCAGCACCCCCAGGCTCAGCACCCCCAGGCTCAGCACTCCCAGCAGCACCACCCGCAGCAGCACCTGAGTCACCTGTGACCTCGACAGGCTCAGTGACGGGAGGAGGGTCTACCTGAGAGACACCTGAAGGAGCAGGACCCTGAGGGGGAAGGGGGTCTACCGGAGGGGGACCAGGAGCGAGGAAAAGCGGCGGGGGAGGGAGGGGGGCAGTGCGGTAGGGGAAGAGACGGTAAAAAGGGACCGACTCGTCAAAGGTGACGTCCTGAGAGGCGAAGACCCGGCGCGAGGTGGGGTGGTAAAACTGCCAGCCAGGCGCGTCAGGGACAAAGCCAAGGAAGACACAGGGGATAGCGCGGGCGGAGAGCTTGTCCGCGGTGGTATTGCGGACAAAGGCACGAGAACCCCAGACCCGGAAACGCGACGCATCGCCAACCTCCCCCGTCCACAGCAGTGTGGGCGAGGTCTCCGGCAAGGAGACACGGGGCCAGAGGTTGAGCTGATGCGCGGCGTACCGGACCGCAAACGGCCACAGAAAATGGGGGGCAGCCGCATGGACCATGGAGGTACGAGCGACCTCCATGACCAAGCCAATGCGGCGCTCAGCAATCCCATTCTGCTGCGGAGAGGCCGGAAGCGTGAACGACTGGGTGATGCCGTGCTCCGCACAGTAGGCTGCCAAGAGGTCGGAGGAAAACTCACCACCTCTGTCAGAGTGCAGACGCAGGACGGAAAACTCTGTCCCGAACCGCCGGCGGAGCTGGAGACGAGCAGCGCGGATCCAGGGGATCAAAACAGTAGGGACCTCACCCTTGGTGCGCAAGGGGAAGACCGTGGTGTAACGCGTGTAGTCGTCGACGACCAGCAGGAAGTACCGCTCGTGGTCCTGTCCACGGACGCGGGCTGGGCCCCACACGTCCAGGTGGAGAGTCTGCAGAGGAGCCTCTGTGGGAGGGAACGAGGAGGAGTGAGGAGCGGCGCGCTGCCGTCCCTCGACACAGGGAAGACAGGGAGGAGCAGGCGAGGGTGGGAGGGGAGGGAGAACTCTGGGAAGACCAGAGACAAGGACCCAACGGTGCATGCTGCGAAGGCGCTGTACCAAGGGGTGACCAAGGCGGTGGTGCCAAAGGAGGGTCTCGTGCGACAAGGCGCGACACAAGCAGGGGGCCGACAGCTGACCTGACGCAGACGCAGACGCAGCTACCTGAGGGGACTCAGTGGTCAGGGTGTACAGGCTCGAGCCAGGCTCACGGGTGAAAGTGGCCAGGTGTCGGCCCGTCCGAGCACACGTACAGTGAGTCACCCGCTGACGCGCAGGAGTGAACTGGTCAACCCCCCCATCCTGGAGGTCAGCTCCACTCACCAGGTTCGTAGAGAACGAGGGGAGGTAGAGACCTGACAGCAAGCCAGACGGGGCGGCCGGACACGGCAGAACCGTGGAGTAGTGGGCAAGGACTGGACCCCCAGAGGGGTCGGCCAGGGAGACTGCAACCGGCCGACGAAGCGGCGTAAGTGTGGTGCAGTCGCGAAAGAAGGAGCGGGAAGCTCCTGAGTCAAGGGTAAAGGTGAGCAGGGTCGCAGCAGGCGAAGAACCTGAGAGGGCAGACTCACCAGGACCTGGAGCAGCAGCCTCACCAGCACCTAGAGCTGGAGACGCAGTAGCACCTAGAGCAGCAGCCTCACCAGCACCTAGAGCAGGAGACGCAGTAGCACCTAGAGCAGCAGCCTCACCAGTACCTAGAGCAGCAGGCGCGATACCTGGGTCAGGCGGCGCACACAGGTAACAGGCACGGTCAGCACTAGTAGGCAATGCATACATGGCAGTGAGAATAGCATCATAGTTAAGAGAAAATATATCTACTCTCTGCCTAAGTAGCTCCACCCAGTCGGGGAGCTCAGCCCCGTCGCCAAACTCGGTGCGCCAGGCGTCGCTCAGACGGGCGAAGCAGCGGGACTGCGTGTGACTAGGTGTCCCGCAAGGCTGACCAGTCCGAGCACCAGTGCGAATGACGTAAGAGCAGCGAACAGAACTGAGAGACCCTCTACTCTGAGCGTACCACTCACGAAGCTGCTGGGGCGTGCGAGACTCGCGTGGACGACAGTGTAGCTGCATCTGGCCACCGCCAGTAGCAGCAGCAGCAGCAGTGGCAGCAGTAGCAGCGCGGCCACCCCTACAACCCCAACTAGCGGACCACTCACGCAGCTGCTGGGGCGTGAGGGACTCACGCGGACGTCGCTGGGGCTGCATCTGGCGTCGGCCAGTAGCAGCAGGTCAGGCAGGCAGGCAGGCGACGCGGCAGCGCGCTAGCAAGGCAGGGGCTCACCAGTAGCAGGAAGAGCAGGCTCTCACCGGGCGAGCAGGGCCGGTGCTCGGCGGACGGCGGCAGGGTCAGCGTACGACGGCGGCGACAGCAGGGCCGTGGCAGCGGCTACAGTGAAGGGCCGGATCGAGTCAGCGGCAGGGCAGGGCCGGGTCGTGGCAGCGGCAGGGCAGGGCCGGGTCGTGGCAGCGGCAGGGTGGCGCGAGCCGCTGCCGGGGGCCGTGCACTGGCGGGTAGGGCGCGGCGCGGGCCGCGCGGACGGCGCGCAGCGCGCTGCGGGCCGCGGACGCGCCGCGCGGACCTGGGGCGAGTTGCGCGGGGCAGCGGCGGGCCGCGCGCGCGTCGCGCGGGCTCGGGACGGGCTGCGCGGCAGGCAGCGCGACGGCGGGCAGCGCGGCGGGCAGTGCGACGGGCGGGCAGCGCGGCGGGCAGCGCGGCGGGCGGGCAGCGCGGCGTGCAGCGCGACGGGCGGGCAGCGCGGCGAGCGGGCAGCGCAGCGGGCAGCGCAGCGGGCGGGCAGCGCGGCGTGCAGCGCGACGGGCGGGCAGCGCGGCGAGCGGGCAGCGCAGCGGGCTGCGCGACTGGCGGGCGACGCGGCAGGCAGCGCGACGGTGGGCAGCGCGGCGGGCAGCGCGACGGGCGGGCAGCGCGGGCGCACGAGGGCGCTAACTGGGGCGCGTGAAGGCGCTAACGAGGGGCGCGCGAGGGCGCTAACGAGGGCGCGCGAGGGCGCTAACGAGGGCGCACGAGGGCGCAGCTAGGCTAGGGCACGGGGTAGCGTGGTAACCGCATGCGAGCGGTGGTGGGCCCTAAAAAAACGGTCGGTAGGTCCTAGGGACCTCCTGCTCTGATACCATATCAACAGGACTAGGCAAGAATGGTGCATTGAATGAAACAGTTGGGTACAAGTAGCAAACCCTAGTTGGGGTTGTACCCCATATTGGCTACCCCACTGCAGCCTACCAACATGTAACACATTACAATTTAACAGGCACTGCCAGTGAGCGTGTATTTTCGGAAGAAGGAAATAAAAGGCGGGAGAGGAAATTAACGAAGCATGGACAGAATCTGAGGAGGGGGATAGTACTAACTGACAACGAATGCATTTGAGAGTTGTCTAAGCAGGAAGGTGAAGTCGAGTCGAGATGGCTCTCGTTTGGAGCGTGAAGGCAATGCGGTGGAAAGTGAGATGCGGCGTCGCGAAGCAATAGCAATCCTTGCCTTCTGGGACCGCATTGCTCTTCTGTCTTTTCTTCTCCCGTTGCTCGCGCTCTCCCAGCTCGGCCGTGTCATCGCCAGTAGTACGCTGCACCGATGCCATGACCGTCTCGAAAAATCATAGGCACCCAATCCGCCTGGTGATAACTAGTACTATTTTTGTTTACTCAAAAGCCGTGCATATGCACTCGTCATTAGACTAGGGCGTACTTTCCGCGTCTCTAGCTGCCTATTTTCTAGTTTCCGGCGGTCGAGCAGCTCTGGTCCATTGTCCTACGCATAGAAAAAAACTACTTTCCTTGAAACTATTTTTGTTGTGCCGCAAGACCTGTGAACTAGCGCGCCAGCGCGTTCATTCAGAGTTTCAATACAGTTCATTCTGAGCGGTTACTCTCATTTAGTCACGGTTTAAAATGGTTCAACGTTAAGACCGCTCTAAACCAATTGGAATCTTTTTGCGCCACGACAGATGAACTGTACAATTAAGAAAAATTAACGCGCTGACCCTGCCCTAATCCGTCCTTCAGCTTGAGTTGAGAAAGGGCGGGTCACACTTTCTCGTTCAGAGTTCGTTTGACGCGGTTCGATACGGTCAGATACGTTTAAAAGCGGTTCTCAGTTTTCACCGTTCTAGACCATTGTGCACCAGAGTGAACTCGCCAAAGTCAAAAGGGGGGAAGGTGAATGCTGAGGTGACTTCTCCAATTCCTCAGTACTACTCGGTAAGAAAAGAGACCTCAGCTTTCATGCCTCAAACTTGGCTTTGCTTGGCTGGCGCATCAGCATGCACGGAAGTTCAACTGATTATCTGATGATATGCAGCATGTCGACGCGTGTATAGCTGCTAGCGGCAGAACTACGGGTTTGCATGACTGAAGCGTGTAACGAAATTCGAAAAAGCCTCAAAACTGCTCAGAAATCAAATGTTCAATCAGACCGTTGTAGCTGCCACTTGTCAGCCACGCACCCGCATGCTTATCGTTGGTAATTCTTCCGACGATGCATTTAGTTCTGATTAAGAATTGCGACTCGTATCCTTCACTTCTCTCTGGAAGGGAGTTGCTCATAGGCAACGCCCTGCGGAACGCACCGCGGGCTCACCTCACCGTCCTCGCGCCCTGCAGGGGTTTCCCCCGTTTCATGCTCCTCACCGTGTCGCGCTGCTACGGACTCAATCAGCCCCCCGCGTCGCTGTTTACTGCCGCCGCTATGGCGACGATAGGCGAGCCTGACAGGGGGCGAGCCTGAGCCAGGTCGTGGCTGAACCTGACAGGTGAGAGTGGTAGGGATATAACGATGGTGTGAGTACTGCGAGCGATGTGTGAGACTTCCTGGAGAAGACTTGCAGTGTCAGAGATTTTAGTTTCGCGAACTCAACTCACCACCGTCAGCGAAAGCAACGCCAGTCGGACTCAATTTCTAATCAGCTGTTGCAAGGAGTGTTGGTTTCGCTCTTTTGAGAACAGCTGACGAATTTTAGTAACCCTAGACGAATTGAATCCCGGAATTGTCACCCTGCCAATGGCCTCCAGCCATGGTGATACGGCTGTGGAAGAAAACATGGCTGCACTCAAACTCAAACAGCCCTCACAACCCTCAAGTGCTGAAGATTCTCACGAGGTGAGAGTGATGTTGCAAAAAGTGAACCTGACTTCCCCCTTTCATTGCGCGTCCTCCCCTAGTCCTCTCCTATTCTCTTTCTCCGGCTCTCTTCCGCTCTCATCTCTAGTGATTCTCGTCCCCCCACCCACCAGAGCGTGGACGTGGTTGATCTGCTGCCCGGCCCCATCTGGCACATCATCTTCCGCCACCTGCTGCTGCCGCCAGCCACCTCTTCTCAGCTGAAGAAACGGGGCGAATCCTCTCAGGAAGCGTCATCACGGGGAGCAGGCAACAATTTGCAGAACTTCGTTGAGGGAATTTTCAGACCCGCTTGCCCTCAGCAGGTTGCCAGAGAGAAGCATGAGAAGGGCATAAGGCGCTTCGGCTCCTCGTGGCCTCTGCTGCGATGTGCCATGGCCAGCAAGAGACTTCTTCACCATGTCACCTCCTTTTCCGTGAGTCATGTGCTGGTTCCTCGTGCATTACCCCCCCCCCCCCCCCCCTCATTCATGTATATCATGCCATAGGACGTTCTCTTCTTCGGTGTTGCTCTTTGTGTGCAGGAGCTCGAGCCCATCTCGTTCTTCTTCGACGATCCCCAGTGGAAAAGACTTCTCGCCTTCATCCTCAAACGGACTGCTCTCAACTCCATTGACGTTAAGTTCACTTCCTTGGAGGACCTCGAGACCCTCAGCCAGTTCATGGCATCCTCGTCGGGATCCCTCGCAAGCCTGTGCCTTAGGCCTGTCGATTCAATTGCGCGGCGGCCTATCCAGTGCAAACTGATTGATCTCCACGCCCTCCAGGGATTTCAGCAGCTGCAGCGGCTGAAGCTAGGCCGTGGAAGGTGGGAACTACGCAGTGCGAATGCGGCATGGTTCACGGCACTAAGGTGCTTGACCATCGAGCATGCGGGCTGCTATGAGAACGACTACGACTTTCTGTCATCCATCTCACCGCAGCTGCATGAGTTCTCTCTTTCCTCCTTCAGCTCTACGTTTTGCAGCCTCCGACTTGAGTTCTCCGTTGCTCGAGTTATCAAAGTCAGTTGTGAGCAGAGCATCCTTGCTGCATTCTTCTCCGTCCCTGCCACTCTGAAGATACTAACTATCAAGGCAGAGGAGCTGGGAGTCCACTGCAAGGGCTCCAGTCCCCTTTCTCTCGACTCTCTTACCCTTGTTGGCCGCAAACAGCTTGTCGTTTATTCCCTTCCACCACTGGCCTCTGTCAAAACAGTCTTCTTGAATGGGCCTCACGTTCCGGAATTTACAGATCGGGATGCAGTTTCCGCAACACAGCTACTTAGCACATTCGCGCCGACAGTGAAAACGCTTACAGTGAGGCATGGCTGGCCTCTGGAGGACGTGGATGCAGAGTGGAGCCGCCTGCGCTGCCTTGGGATTGGTGCGGAAGGCAGGGGAAGTGGTGGGGTGAGGAGAGCTGCTACTGTGGAGGAGAAAGCGAGGAGCAGAAATGAGCTTGAGGCGATAAAGCTGTCCTTCATTCTTGCTCCAAAGCTGGAATGTATCTTCTTTGCCACTCGACAGTGGCAGATCAAGACGCTGGCTTCTCTGCCCATAAATTTCCCCTCCCTCAAATTTTACCGCATTGTTGGTCGGTCCTTTCACTGGAAAGGGGAGGGGGAGAGGCGGAACAACAAGCCAGTTGTACAGATGAGGCCAGATTATGCTGCATGCGCCATGAAGGCGGAGGATATGAAGGAGGATGATCGAATGATGATGGTCCTTCAAACTCTTTGAGCTGAATCTACACTTCAAGAAGAAATGGTTGCTGGCTGAGGCATTGGGGGAGTGGGTAGAACGGAGTTGTGCATGTGTTTGGTGCGTGTGTGAGGAGGGTGTGTGCATGAAACGCAGGAAAACAACAGAGGGAGGGACGATAGGAGTGGAAGTATAATAGTAGTTGGCCTTATCGCCCCTTTCCCTGTTGTCCGTAGTTAGAGCTGACATGGTACCTCGGTTGTTTGTGACAAAAACTGCTAGCAACGAGATAGTTCGTTTGAATGATAACGCGTAGCTTCCTCCCTGCCGATGGAGTGCTCGGGTGGACGTCATGCTCCACTGCCGCTGCGGCTGCCGAGCATACCGGTTCTGTATGCTAGTGCTTTGCTGAGCAGCAGCATAATTTATCAAAGAGCGGATGGTGAGGGCGGATGGAGGAATACAGAATTGTAGCACAATCAGCATCTTGAAAATACCTTAAGCTCTAGAGTGCAGATGGAGTTCTGCTCTTGCGTGTCAGTCATCTACCACATGTTAAGTGGTGTGGTTAAAAACATTTTAGGATGTTCTTCACTAGCTTCGCTGTGCAATGTTGTCCTGTACGTAAGCCTCCTTGTCATCAAAACTGCATTTTTTTAGCGTCCACGTGGCTTTTCCTCTTCCCTTCGTTCGGACTCTCTGAATACCAATTGAGAACATGTTACATATCATTGAAACAAAGTGACATCATTCTGTGCCGATTTCGCACAAACATAGATTAGATGAACACCAAATAAAAAGCTACTTATGCCACCTTCAGTCCTTGACACTTCAAAATAAGCTGCTCATCCTCCTCAGCACAGGCACCGGTTCCCCTCCAACAACTCCCCATTGACAATCTCTTCTCTCTTCGAACTCAAAAGCAGCATGCGCCACTACTGACGTCCTTGATACTTCAGAATATGCCGCTCATCCTCCTCCCCAATATACCCCTCCACCAACCCCCCATTCACACTGTGCATCTTCTCCCTCACATTCTTGGCCCGTTTCTTCTCATCAAAGCGGCATCGCAGCACGCCGCTCTTCTCCTGCCGCACGTGCACCACAGGCCCCCCCATCACCCTCACCCCCTTCCTCTCCCAGTAGTACGAGCGATCGATAACACAGAAGAGCGCGAGGGAGGGGAAGTTCATGCGCAGGCGAGCAAGGGAGCGCGTGTCATAGGGAGTGCGAGAGGGGAAGAAAATGGATTTGAGATTCGGAGCCGTGATGGTCGGAGGCAGGAGTGCTTGCTGCTGCTGCTGCTGCTGCTGCGGCCACTGCAGCGGTTGCTGCTGCTGCAACTGCAGGTGCTGCTGTACATCCCTCTGATACTCGTTATAATCCTGCTGCACAGCCATCTGATACTCGCTATAATCCTCCGCTTCCTCGCCGTCTCTGTACTCATCGGACCTATCCACCGCAGCCTCCCAGTCCGGGTCATGACAAACCTTGCCGCCCACGACAATCCCGAGGCTACGCAGGCTCCTCCACACCGCCTTCACCCTTTCTATAGGCACCCCGTGCCTCACTATAAGCACCTCCACTTTAGGCGCAATCGCACGCAGCCATGCGGTCCAAGAAAAAGACGATCTACTCCGGGAAAGAGGAATGTCTCGCAAGTATTGAGGCAGCCGGGAGGAGAGCGCAGGGGAGGAGTAGATGGAGGGGAACGAGAGCTCGTCGCTGGGAGGGCCGTTGAGGTAGGCCACTCGTGCCGATGCGAGGCAGAGGGAGGGGATGACGAGACGATCCTGGCCGTACAGCGAGAGGTGGTCGAGATCAAGAGGGGCGATGCTCTTGCAGGAGAGCACCAGCCGTTTGGCCACCACCGATAGAGTCTTGAGCATTGGGGAGACAGTGAGGGTGGGCTTGAGATCGCAGTGGGGGAAGCGGAAGCGGAGGAGGCGAGCAACGTAGAAAGAGAAGGAGAGGCTGTGGTAGCCACCGAAATGGGGACCGTGGGGGGCGTGAGCGAGGCTGCTGCAGGGCTCAGGCTCGTAGAGTGTGAACTCGGTAAGCTGGGGGGTGATTTGCTTGAGGAATTCGAGGTTCAGGCTGGTCCAATCCACGTGCTTGATTGCGAGACAGCGGAGGGATTTCGTCCACGTGGCGTCGGCGCATTGGCTGGTGAGATCCCACCTGCCGCGGCCCAGCTTCAGACGGTGCAGCTGCGAGCAGTCTTTGAGGAAACTAAGGGACAAGTGCGTGTATTCCTGCTGCTGCGCGTGCTGGTGCGCGTGCTGCTGTGCGTGCTGCTGTGCGTGCTGCTGTGCGTACTGGTGCGCGTGCTCCTGCTCCTCATCCCCATCCACCGTGCCGCGCAGTTTAAGGGAGAGGGAGGAGAGCTTGCGGCCGGAGCAGGCGATGTGCGGCCCAAGGGAGCAGAGTTGGGGAGGGGCGGTGAAGGTGAGGGAGAGCTGGTGCTGCGGCCACCGGAGGAGGTATAGCACGCTCTTGCTCCACTCGGGGTGCTGCTCGCTGAATGCCAGCGCGGTTGGCTCATTGGCCTGCGGAAAAATGGGAAAGGGAATGGAAGGAAGGGCACGGTGAGGGAGAGGTGGTGGTGCAGCCACCTGATGAGGAGGTAGAGCACGCTCTTGCTCCACTCGGGGTGCTGCTGGCTGAATGCAAGGGCGGTAGGTGTGCTTGCCTGCAAGGAGGGGGCAGGCGAGGTTGGGGAAAGGGGAAGGGTCGAGCGGGTGGGGGAAGCGGGAGGAGGGAGGATGAGGGTAAGGGGAGGGGCTCGGAAAGGGAGAGGCCTCCGAGGTGAGAGAACAAAGAGAGACATAACGTCTGGGCAGAAGATCAATATGCACAACGGATTCAACGCTCAGGTTAGTCAAGGTTTTGGGACAGCTCAAGATTTGAGAGGAATCCGAAGTGGGAGAGACAAAAAAAAAACATGCATAGCAACGCAGTGCCGGGGGAGCAGATTCGACGCACAGCCGGGATCAGGGAATCAAGGAGCTACGGCAGCGAACTTCGGAACAGTGGAGGAAAATGTTGGTAAGGCAACAGGAGAGCAGCAGATAGCAGCAGGAGAGAAGCAGCTAGAGCATCAGCCTAGTAGGAGAAGAGTACTACTCACAGAGAAGGAGAGGACGTGGAGCAGCAGCCTCCTGCTGGCGAGCGCGTAGCACAGCAGCGCCCACGAGGGGCCGTAGCTCGCCGCGTTGCTGCGCTGCTGCTCGCCCGCCGTGCTCCGCGCGTCCCTCAGTACCACCGCGCTGCGCCTCTCCGCCTGCTGCTGCTGCCGCGCCTGCTGCTGCGCCGACTGCTGCTGCTGCTGTAGCCGCGCCTGCTGCTGCTGCTGCCGCTGCTGCCGCCGCTGCTGCTTCGACGTGGCACGGCGGTGGTTGACGCGGCTCCTCCTCGCGGCGCCGGTGCCTGCTGCCGCTGCCACTGCTGTTGCTGCTGCTGCTGCGGCTGCGGCGGCGGCGACGTCGGCGGGTTCGTCGGGGTGGGCGGGCGGCAGCAGCAGGAGGCGGAAGATGATGTGCCAGATGTGCGCGGGGAGGATGTCCGCGATGTCAGCTGCAGGGATGGGGCGAGGGATGGGGGGGAAGATAGCAGCAAGAGGCGGAAGATGAGGTGCCAGATGTGCGCGGGGAGAATGTCCGCGATGTCAGCTGCGGGGATGGGGCGATAAGTGGGGATCGGAACGAAACGAACGTGGGGACAAGATGGTAAGCAGGTAGGTGTGGGGTAAAAGGAGCTCTTCGAGAGTGAATGCGCGTATAGATGTCGCGTGAATGGCGGAGAGCGGACCCTGCCAGGGCTGAAGAGTGGCTCTCATTCCTTCTAAATTATACGAAGATTCGCGAACGAGGACGAAGTTTTCAGAACCGGTAACCCTCCAACGGTTGGAAATGAAGCTTTAGAATCAAGGGATAAATAAAAACGTCGAACGGGAGAGCGCGACAAGTTCCGCTGATTCAAGAAAGGTTCTTGGCTTTGTGAGACGGTAAAAGGCCTAGATTAGTTAAAGCACTTCTTCTTTTTTTAATGTGAGTCACCTCGGTCGAACACGCTTACGAATACTGGTCGTCATTCGGATGCACTTGCCGTTCTTTTGATTCGACTTAAAGGTCACGGTGAATGCGCTGATGCGACGGTGAACGCGCTTACGAATATCCGTCGTCATTCGGATGCGCTTGCCGTCCCGCCACGCCAGCTCGTCGATTCGCGCTTTGGCGGCGTCGAACAGCCACGACAGCGTGTCGGCGTTCGTGGCGCGGCTCGCGTCCTGCCGCATCAGCACGCGTTGCAGCCGCAGGAACTCCGTCGCCGTCGCCGCGTCGAACTGCAGCAAGCACGACCCGTCCGCCGCGGCGCCGTTCATGTTTGGAGAATGGAGGCGTTTCTTCTGTTTGCAGGGCGAATCAGAACTTTCGCGCTGAAAGCACCCGCTAATATTTGACAATAATGATACTTTCTGTTCAAGTTCAAGAAGCAGTCTGGAAGTGTCAGGAATGCATTTCTACTCTCTGCATAGGATGGCCCCGCTTCTTTTCCCACGTCGACACTAGCGTTTACCCCACCCACATTCGAGCTCAACAGATGAGTGAGCGAGTGCGATGCAAACCCCAGCAAGTCCGCTCGGAAATTTGAGGTGAGGGCTAATTTGTGTTGCTGGCTGGCAAATACTCGTGCGGGTGACGATTTCGCTCAGTGGGAGGGAGAGCAGGCGAATGGCGCGAAATTGATGCAAGCGCAGGAGACAGAAGCAGAGGATATTTATTTTTTTTGCGGTTTCGAAATTTTGAAACTTGAAAGGCGGCCAGATGCGCGTTGTTCTCATAGGAAGTTGGTGTTCACGGCCGCTTTCACCACCCGCTGCGGCTTCCTGCTTTGTTAAGTGTCAGTCTGTAGCAGCATTCAAACTGTACACTTGGGTTTGCGATACCTGATGGCACAAGTTATGCAACGAGCCGTGACACGTCAGCAAAATGCTGTAGATCAAAACAGTTGACGAGTCACTGCGCTGATCTTCAAGCCCTTATGTTTGCCAGAACTACATCATTTCAGGACTATATGTTCTACACATGATGCATGTTCCTTTCTATATCCAACAAAGAGTCACTCCATGGGGGCATTCGAGTGCAGCTGGCCGCCATGCCTGGCTTGCTGACACCAGAATCTTGGGAACTCGGAAAACAGCGAAACTTGAGGTCAGGCGGAGTTGAAGGGGCAAGACGCGAAGACATTTGCTACTAGACGCGATTTAGGTCTTTCATGTCGAGTCTTTGAAATCCTAGGGCTCTGACAGTCGTCCTGTGCGTTGTCCGACGCCTTTTCACCACAACCTGACGACAAATAATCTGTCGCCATGCAGTCGCACGGGCCACCGTCGCCGTCGCAGTCGCATCTTCACGGTCATGCGAATCGCCGCGATCTTTTCAAGCAGTCCGGTACGACGCAGCCGCGCTTTCACGGCAGCGCTAGATCCCATCATGCATCCCACCAGGCCTCATCTTCCCGCTTTCCCCGTTTCCTCCGGTCCACCGCTCGAGTTGTTCTCAGAAGCAGCTGCGTGATAGAAACCACTCGGGCGAAGGGAGAATAAAAGTACTGAGAGACCAACGCACTTTTATTCAGGTGACTTTTGAGTCGACTCAAAAGTACTGAGAGACCAAAGCACTTTTATTCTTGACTCACAAGTCAAAATCCACTTCGCCCCGCCCCGTTCCATCCTTTCCCACGTCCTCCCACGGCAGCAGCCCGAGAGGGCTTATAGCTTGCAGCAGCAAGCAACATGCAAGGCCAATCCTTCCTCCCTCTCCCACCCCTCTCCCTCCTAGTCATTCCCCCCCCCTACCCCTCCCACCCACCTCAGCCACGGCGGCAGCAGCAGCGCGGAGGCGGGGAGAGGTAGCTGCGATAAGCAAGGACAGGCGGGGGGCGCTGGTGGGCGCCTAGCGGATGCGGGTCATTTGCCCCCTCCCAACCCCACTTCTTCCCTGTCAAACCCCTTTCCCTTGCCAGCCACGGCAGCAGCAGCAGCAAGAAGGCGGGGAGTGGTAGCAGCTATATCCAAGGACAGGCGGGGGGCGCTGGTGTGCGCCAAGCGGATGAGGCGGGGGGAGGGGATTGCCTTGGGGGAGGGGTTGGGGGGATTGGAGGGGGGAATGGATGTGGAGGGGAGGGAGGGGGAGGGCGAGGAGGAGGAGGAGAGGAGGCGGGTGGAGGAGGAGGGGCGGGTGGAGGAGGCGGTTAAAAGGCTTAAGGGCACGTTTGAAGGGTGAGTGAATTGTTTATGTGCTGTGCATCATACACAGGAGGGGCGGGTGGGGGAGGAGGGCCGAGTGGAGGAGGCAAATTAGAGGCGCAAGGGCACGTTCGAGTCGCCTCTGAAAGAGGCGGGGCTCCCACCCACTCCCAGATGAGCAGGGGGTGGAAATGAGAAAGAGGGCCCTCCTTGTATGGCCCATACAGCTCGAGAGTGGCCCTTGACTTCACTCAAAGTCAACCGTGCTGTCTCTCTCTCTCTCCACCCTTTCTCATTTCCACCCCCACCCCCACCCTCACCCCCACCCCACCCCCATCCCACCCCCACCCGCATTCCCATCCCCATTCCCATCCCCTTCCCCTCACCCCCAGCACCGCCAGAGCGGGCGGGGCAGCGGTGCAGCAGGAGAGGGTGGAGGCGCTCAAGGCGCTGCGCCAGCTGCTCTCGGCCAATCACAGCCCGCCACTTGGCGCTGCCGTGCGCTGCGGCGCTGTCCCCCTGCTGGCGGAGTGCCTGGCGTTTGGAGCTTCGGAGGAGCAGGTGGGAGGGGAAATCACGAGGAGGGGTATGGGTTGGGTTGGGACAGACAAGTTGGGGCTGGAGTGATGAGCCTTGGCGGCCGTGCCTCTGCTGGCGCAGTGCCTGGCGTTTGGAGCTCCGGAGGAGCAGGTGAGGCAGGGAAAGGGTATGGTAGGTGTGGAGTGTGGGGAGGCGTGGGGGTACATGAGACGGCGAATGATGGGTTGGGGGAAGGGATGGGGTAGTGTAATGTGTGTGTGTGTGTGTGTGTGTGTGTGCGTGCGTGCGTGCGTGCGTGCGTGCGTGCGTGCGTGCGTGCGTGCGTGCGTGCGTGCGTGCGTGCGTGTGTGCGTGCGTGCGTGTGTGTTTCTCAGTAAGCGCATGCAGAAATTAGGGTGATGTGGCGATGAGCTGCTCCCAGAAGAGCCACAAGCACTGCTGCGCCGTGCCTCTGCTGTTGTTGCCCTCCTGTCAGCTGCTGGAGGCAGGATGTTGTGTGCGTGCGCGCGAAGCTCTTTTTGTTGTCTTCTCCCTGTGTTTATTGATTTGCTTCTCCTCTCTGTCCTCCCCCCTTCCCACCAGCTCCTGGAAGCAGCATGGTGTGTGACCAACATAGCATCAGGGGAGGCGGAGGAGACTTCAGTTGGCTCTTCACTTTCCCCATCACCTCAGCGCAGCACCTCTCTCCCCCCTTCTTCTCCCCCTTCCCTTTCAGCTCCTGGAAGCAGCGTGGTGTGTGACCAACATAGCATCAGGCGAGGCGGAGGAGACGCGTGCCGTGCTGCCCTGCGCTGCTCTGCTCATCGCCCACTGCACTGGTGTGTGGTACCACCCACTCACTCCCTCACTCACTCCCTCACTCACTCCCTCACTCGCTCCCTCACTCACTTTCTCATTCCCTCACTCACTCCCTCGCTCACTACCCCACTGGCACATTAGCTAACAACTTTTTCACCCTGCCCCCAGTTTCTTGCTGGCTATTTCTTGCCTCCCCTTGAATCTTCCCTTCTTTCTTGCCTCCCTTTCGCTCCTTCAGACTCCCCGTCGCCAGCAATAGCCGAGCAGTGTGTGTGGGCGGTGGGCAACATAGCAGCAGAGGCAGACGACCTGCGAGCACACCTGCTAGATCAAGGCGCCCTGCCCGCCCTCACGCGCCTCCTGCTCGCTGCTGCTGCTGCTGCCCTCTCCTCTGGAGGCAGCTCAGGGGGGCGATGGTTGACGGCACAGGCGCCAGCAGCCATGGCATCGCTGGCCAAGACGGTGGCGTGGGCGCTCTCGTCCCTCATCAAGGTGAGTACTTGTTGGGATGGGTGGGTGGGCTGTCGGATGGGCTCGCCTGTACCTCTCTCTCATCTCACAGCTGCTGGATCAGGGCGCCCTCCCCGCCCTCACCCGCCTCCTACCCGCCTCACCCGCCAGCAGCCATGGCATCACTGGCCAAGAGACGGTGGCGTGGGCTGTGTCATCCCTTATCAAGGTGAGTGGGGCGTTGGGTGGGCAGCGGAAGCAGACGACTTGAGAGCACAGCTGCTGGATCAGGGCGCCCTCCCCGCCCCCACGCGCCTGCTGCTCGCTGCTGCCAGTGCCACAGGCGGTGCCTCTGGGGGCAACACAGGGGGGCGATGGCTAACAGCGCAGGCACCAGCAGCCATGGCATCGCTGGCCAAGACGGTGGCGTGGGCGCTCTCTTCCCTCATCAAGGTGAGTACTTGTTGGGATGGGTGGGCGGTGGGTGGGTGGGGTGGGCGGGGAGGTGGGCGGTGGGCTTCCGCATAATAGCTGCAGAAGCAGACGACCTGCGAGCACACCTGCTGGACCAGGGCGCCCTGCCCGCCATGGCATCGCTGGCCAAGACTGTGGCGTGGGCGCTCTCTTCTCTTATTAAGGTGCGTCTTCGCTTCCGTGTGTGTCTTCTCCCCCATGTGTGTGTCCCTCCCTTCCCCGCGTGTTCCCTCCCCTTCGTGTTCCCTCCCCTTGCACCCACTCTCCCCCCCTTGTGTGCGCCACAATCTCTCTCCTACACCCAGTCATTCCCCTGCGCATCTATTTCTGAGGCACCTCAAAATCAGAACCAGCCTGCCTGAGTATCTCTCTCATGTTCCCCTATCGCTCCCCCTATGCACCTCACCAGGGCCCCAGCCCCCGAGCAGCCGTTGATCTGGTGAAATCGGACGGTGTGGATGCAGCGATTGTGGCCCTCCTATCGTCAGGGTAAGGGAGGGGTTGCTGGGAATGTGAGAGTGCGGAGAGAGTGGGAATGTGGAGGGTGCTTCGCCATGAAAAAAAACATGTACGAGTGGTGTACAGGCATCGCGTCTGCTCCATGTCTCCGTCACGTCTCTCCTCTCTCTATGTTTTCCTTCTATCCTTTGTTTTTTTCAGCACTCACCCAAATACACATAGCAGTAATGCAGGGGCGGCAGTGGAAGCAGCGTGGGTGGCAGCATATGTGGCAGCGCTGTCAGACAGGCTCCCGGATAATCTGTGGAAGCATGTGTGGCGGCATGTGTGGCGGCATGTGTGGCGGCATGTGTGGCGGCATGTGTGGCGGCATGTGTGGCGGCATGTGTGGCGGCATGTGTGGCGGCATGTGTGGCGGCATGTGTGGCGGCATGTGTGGCGGCGCTGTCAGACAGGCCCCCGAGATAATCTGGCTTTTCCATTCTCCTATTTCTGGCCCTATCTGTTCTCGGATGAAACTTCCCCCATCTCAGCAATGCAGAGGCGGCAGTGGAGGCAGCATGGGTAGCAGCGTACGTGACAGCGCTGTCAGACGCGAGTGCAGAGAGGCTCGTCGCTGCTGGGCTGGTAGAGGCCCTCGTGCCGCTGCTCTCCTCCACCACTGACGCCGCCCTGCTCACTCCTGTACGTGCCACACATCACTACCCATGCTTGCAACCTCATTACCTGCGCTGCCATGTCCTCATCTGCTCGTTGCTGCCATGTCCTCATCTGCTAGTTGCTGCCATGTCCTCATCTGCTCGTTGCTGCCGGGCTGGTAGACGCCCTCATGTCATGCCTCTGCTCTCTGCTCCACGTCTGACGTCGCCCTGCTCACTCCTGTAGTTGCACCCTGCCCATGCTTGCAACCTCGCCCAATGCCCACACGCATCTTCTCGTGTCCTCACCTCACCTGCTCCTCACCTCACCTGCTCCTCACTGCCGGGCTGGTACAGCAGGGCGGTGTTAGCGCTTCTTCTCTCTGCTGTCACTAACACCGCCTTTTGAGGCGCCTCAAAGGTCAATGTCAGTGCTTCTTCTCCCTGCTGTCACTTTTGAGTCGACTCAAAAGTCGGGCTGGTACAGCAGGGCGATGTTAGCGCTTCTTCTCTCTGCTGTCACTAACACCGCCCTGCTCACTCCTGTACGCACCTTTCTCTGCTCTTGTCTCTCCCTGCTCTTTCTCCTCTTTGCTGCAACCAGTGTTGGCACATTCATTCCCCTATCTATCTAACCTCATCCTCGACACATGTATTCTCAAGTCATTCTGTGTGCTATGTCATCACCACGCCATGTCATCCTTGCTCCTTGTACTATTTCCAGCCCGTGTATGCCATCTCAACACCAACCCACCCGAATTAACCCATGTGGGCTGCTGTCCTCCCAACCAATCAACCTCACCTCAGGTGGTGCGGGCCATTGGCAACCTGACAGCAGGAGATTCCAGCAGAACCACTCGCCTGCTGACAGCTGGCACGCCCTTCCAAGGTACATCCTCTTTGTTCCAAACCAACCGCTCTGCATCCCTTTCAATCAGTTTAGGTGTTTCACCGCTGAGGTGGGTGTGCTGCTCCTGCTTCTTCCTGAGGTGACTTTTGAGTCGACTCAAAAGTCACCGCTGAGGTGCGTGTGCTGCTCCTGCCTCAGCGGAACCTTTCCTCTCCACCCCTCCAGTAGCAGCTCAACCCACCAGGTGTGATGGCAGTAGCACCAGCAGCGGTCGAATCGACTCTTCAAACGTCTCAAGAATCGGGCTGCCATGCCATCAGCAGCCGAGTCGGGCCCACCTCGTCTGCTACCACCAAAGTGTCGAGCTAATTCAAAATTTTAGACGTCTCAAAAGTCTTGTGAGGCGTCTCGAAAGTCAAGTTGGGCCCACCTCGTCTGCTACCACCAATGTGTCTCTAAAAGTTGACTTCAACTCCCATTCCCCACCCGACCTCTATTCCCTTCCACCTCTCCTCTCCATGCGCTGGAGGAAGCAGGGCACTTCCTGTCCGAGACCCCAGCAGATCTGGCTCAAACCCCTCTCCTCCCCTTTTCCTTTGTCTCTCTCTCCCATGCGCCCAACAACAGCCCAGCCCGTCCCTGCCCCGGCCCTGCCGGGCGTGGTGGCAGCAGCAGCGGCGGGGCCGGGGCTGTCGGGACTGGCAGAGTGCCTTGAGAACAAACACCATGGGCTGAAGAAGGTGAGAGGAGAAGGGGTTGTGTGGACTGGCGCAGGCGTGGCAGATGTCGCTTGGCATCTGCGTTCCGTGGGGCTAGGGTTGTGTGGACTGCATTTTCTTTCGTGTGTTGCACGCTTGGCAGATGCGCCTTCAGACAAACGACTACGGCTGTGGTGTTTTCGTGTGCCAGTACATGCATGCCTTAGTCGTGTTTTGAGACGTCTCAAAACAGTACATGCATGCCTTAGTCGAAGAATGTTTTGAAGGCAGTAGATGTTTTGAAGATGCTCAGAAAAGTGTGCGGTTTGGTATGAGCCCATCAGCATTCCGACACAAGCTACGGCAGAATGTTTGCGCTCACGCTGGCAAACCGTGAGGTACCTGCTGAGCAATTCAACCGTGAGCTCAGCAATCAACGGCAGGACGCTTGATTGCTGAGCCCACGGCAGCAAACCGTGATGTACCTGCTGGCAATTCAGTCACCGCTACCCAGCCAGCAGGTGTGTGGCCCTTCTTTGATTTGATCTCCTCCCGTGTGCTCCCCCCTGCAGGAGACGGCATGGGCGGTGTCCAACGTGACAGCTGGCGACAGCTGGCACAAGGCGGCTGTGATTGGTGGAGATGCAATGGTGATGGGAGAAGCAGGCGAGGCATCGAGGCTATACGAGCTGCTAGTGCACTTGCTCCGCACGGCGCCCTTTGACATCAAGAGAGAGGTCGCCTTTGCTCTCGGTCAGTCACCTTGTGGCTTGTGCTCGAGTAGTGTTTATTTTGAGGAATTCTTGAGAAACATCCTTGTCCTGGTGTGCACGCACACAGTCACAGTCACAGTCACAGTCCCAGTCACAGTCCCAGTCACAGTCCCAGTCACAGTCCCAGTCACAGTCCCAGTCACAGTCCCAGTCACAGTCCCAGTCACAGTCCCAGTCACAGTCCCAGTCACAGTCCCAGTCACAGTCCCAGTCACAGTCCCAGTCACAGTCCCAGTCACAGTCCCAGTCACAGTCCCAGTCACAGTCCCAGTCACAGTCCCAGTCACAGTCCCAGTCACAGTCCCAGTCACAGTCCCAGTCACAGTCCCAGTCACAGTCCCAGTCACAGTCCCAGTCACAGTCCCAGTCACAGTCCCAGTCACAGTCCCAGTCACAGTCCCAGTCACAGTCCCAGTCACAGTCCCAGTCACAGTCCCAGTCACAGTCCCAGTCACAGTCCCAGTCACAGTCCCAGTCACAGTCCCAGTCACAGTCCCAGTCACAGTCCCAGTCACAGTCCCAGTCACAGTCCCAGTCACAGTCCCAGTCACAGTCCCAGTCACAGTCACAGTCCCAGTCACAGTCCCAGTCACAGTCCCATTTTACTCTCTGGCGTTTGCTGAGAGTTTTCCTCCTCACTCTATAATTCGATTTTCTGTTGGACCCATCTCAGCAAAGGTTCTTCTGTTGTATCCTCATAAGACTCTTTCAACCATTCTCCTGCAAGTCTAAAACAAGTCACAGGAGAATGGTTGAAAAGAGTCTTATGAGGTCACCTAAACCCCTCTCCTGTGACCTGTTTTAGACTTTGCAGATGCATTAGGTGACCTTGATTCGAGTAAAAAAAGTCGCCTTGGTATGAATCCATCTGAATCTAATCTTTTGGCAGCGAATCTCTGTGTGGATCCTGGGGAGCAAGAGCCATTGGGGGAGCGCCACGTGGCGGTCCAGCAGTCGCGCGTGGCAGCGCTAGTGGACGCGGGGTGCCTGCCGGCCTTCCTCTCCCTCATACGCTCCGCTGATGCCGACGCCGTGCGGCTTGGCCTGCAATTCGCTGAAGTGGTGAGGAGCGGTGAAGGCAGGTGCATAGTGGTGGGAAGGGCGTGTGAAGGTGTGTGGTGGTATGACTGCTGCTGTGGCTGATAATGGTGGTGCTGCTGTAGCTGGTGCTGGTGGTGCTGGTGGTGATGGCGGTGATGGCGGTGCTTGACTGAGCTGGCTGACTGATCAGAGCTGGTAGTGGTGCACTAGTGGACGCGGGATGCCTGCCGCCTGCCCTTCCTCTCCCTCATCCGCTCAGCAGATGCCGACGCTGTGCGGCTCGGCCTGCAGATTGCTGAAGTGGTGAGGATGGGTGCAGGCAGGTGGGGAAAGGTGGGAAGGTTGTGGGATGGTGTGCAGTAGTGAGGGCACGACATTGCTGCTGCTGCGTCTATTGCTGCACTGCGGCTCAGCCAAAATGGTGGGAGGAGTAAGGTGCATGGAGGGAGGGTGCATGGAGGGAGGGTGCATGGAGGGAGGGTGTGCGGAGGGTAAGGTGTGTAGATGGAGGTTATTGGCAGTTACGTATGAGTTGGAGCAACAAATAAGGACGGCTGGCCACACGCATGCACTCACATTCACATACACTCACATTCGCATACGCTCACATTCGCATACACTCACATTCACATACACTCACATTCGCATGCACTCGCACATGTATGCACTCACACACGCATGCACTCACACACACATACACACATGCACTCATGCTTACATGCTGACATGCATGCGGGCACTCATCCTCACATGCACACATGCACTCATGCCCACATGCCCACATGCAATCATGCCCACATGCACTCATGCTTACACGAATGGCCCTTTTTCAGCCAGTCCTCATCACTTAGCTATCCAAATTCTTCTATCTTGTCTCCAAGTGCAGGTTCTGCGTGTACTACCAGACAAAAGAGGCCCCCGGCTAGTGGAGGAGGCGGACGGCATAGATGCGATAGAAGCAGCTCAGTTTGTAGGCAATGAAGAGCTACACTCCATGTCAAGCTATCTTGTCGACACATACTTTGGGGAAGACTACGGGCTGGAAGAGGGAGGGTGAGGGTAGCAGTTTTGCTGTACCACTTTTGGTAACTACCCTACTGCAATTCATGTCATTGGTGAATGAGTTACTCACCTTTTTTTTTTTAATGCGTATCTCATAGCCTCACTTGGTTGTCTGGCTGCTGCAGTGCGCTTCCAGCCGTATTATTTTCCTCCATATCGGCAAAAGCTGAGTGTTTTTTGTATGTGTGGCCAAGCATGTGCAGACACTTGCTAAACATTACAGATTTCCATCTTCAAGCCATGCTCTCTTGCGAAGACAGTTGAACTTCGCTAACAGGGATGGGTGCATCGAATTTGATGCTCTCTCTGCACATTGAAACCGCCACAGCCACGTACCTTTCCCTTCATCTCATGCGAAAGGTGTGCGACATCGTTTGACCCATAGCATTCGACATTTCGCCTGTTTTCTTGACTGGACAGCTTCCGTATTTCGCGTACGGCACATGCCGCTCTTCGTTGAGCGCACGGGATCGCTCGACGGGCACGCCCTTGAAGTACACTATTCGTGCCAACACAGGCAGGTTACCACATTAGCAACCAATCACAACCTTCGGTTCTGGGATTCTGCTGGAGTTTCTGGCACCACCTGCGACGAGGCGCGAGAGGCTTTCCGCAACCAACGGGGTCGAGCTTTGCGTCTCGGCTCGGCTCAATGAGGAAACGAATTTTCCGACGTGCACATGCGGCTCGGCAGGAGTGGGATGTGAAGGACACACGTGATTCGACGCGAATGGGCCGTGCGGGGCTTGAGGTTTGTTGGCTTTCAAGCGCGGTTCGTTCCTATTTTTTTTTATCACGGTTTAGTTCGGTGCTTGATGTAACGCACGAGAACCATGTCCAAGCGTGAAGAACCCAACTGAACCGCATGCGAGCAACAACAACAAAAAAATTCACAGTGCTGCTCCGAACAATGCGTTCCGCTGGCAGCACCTTCGGTAGCCAATTCGGGTTTGCTTATCATACAAGTGCTCGCTAAGCGGCTGCAGCTACATTGCCTTGGCTCGTACTGCTCCTGGCCTCCATCCTGTGTGATAGCATATGCTGTTGACACGAGAGGTATTGACGTATCATTAGTAATCAAGTAGCAGATTTGACATACGAAAGACTAGCCCATCCAGAAGCAGATACAAGCTGATTAGGCGAATCATCAGCCCTTGTCTTCTTCGCACTGGAATGGAGCCGTCGCCAGAGGATCCTTACGCTCCTCGAGGCATTGCGAAACTCTCCAATTCCAAGTCCTACGACCGATGGCTCCTCGACCCGCAGAAGCCATTAAAGGGGCTACAGCATCCGCCACCCAACCGCATGGGTCAATGGGCGGCAATCGCCGTCGCTTCCCTGCTCTTCTCTCTCGTCCTACTCAATCCGACAGTTGTTGACGACGCTCTCTCAATCATGATGAGGCCAATCAACCCCAGCCACGTGGACGCCTTTACACGAGGACTGGCGACGCTTCAATGGTGGGAGGACCAATACCCCCCTCCGCTATCGCCGCCGGAAAGCGCGGAGCTTAAGGAGCAACAACCAGGACATATTCTATGGAAGACATTTAGAATAACGCGGGTCGCGGCATTCAACGTCGAGAGAAGAATCATCAAGCAGACCAAGCAGGCGGGCTTTCAACTCGTCCCGCTCGCCGCGCCGCCGCCTCTTAGAGACCTAACGTGGGATGACCTTTACGCGGACAGGTTCGACGAAGACTCAAACGCGCAGTGTCCGAAGCTGCCGCTGCCCGAATGGTCGCAGGATCTTCGCACGGTCGACGCGATGGTCGCACACATGCCGTGCCAGCCCGTGAATGGGTCGTTCGCGAGGGACGTGAGATGGCACCAGCTGGTGCTTGCTGTCGCCGAGTATATCAAGCAGGTAAGTTCGCGCACTGTCGCTTGCTGTTGTCGAGTGGCCGTCCAGCTTTCACAGGAGAGCTGCGTGTCCACACTGTATCCTCAAGATATTGGATAAAAAAACCTCAGTTTCGCCCTCTCATCTCTGTCTCCCTCTCCTGCCTCCCCCCCTCCCTGCTCACTCATGTTCTCCCTATTCCGTGAATCATTGTCATCGCCCCCACCCCCTCCTTTTCCCCCTACCACACCTCCGCTCTCCTGAACATGCCCGGTTTTCCGCCGCTCACAATCTCAATACCATCCCCCGTGCACCATGCCCTCCCGGTCTTCCCAGTCCGCGCGCCCTTGGATGCCCGTGGTCGTTCTCTCCGACTGCCGTCCGCCACCTAACCTCTTCCATTGCAACTGGCTCGTGCACTTTGAGTCGACTCAAATGTCTTCCCCCCTTCCCCATGCTTCCCCATCGCCCCCAGTCCGCGCGCCCTTGGATGCCCGTGGTCGTTCTCTCCGACTGCCGCCCGCCGCCCAACCTCTTCCATTGCAACCGGCTCGTGCACCGCGACGGGCCCGTCTGGCTGTTTAACTTGACAGTCGCCGACATGCGCCGCCGGCTGCAGCCCGTCGGGAACTGCGCGCTCGCCACCCCGGAACCCCAGCTGCTGCCCGGTCAGCTGCCAGATCAACAGCCGGCCGCTGCGCGCCGAGTCGCGTACGCTACAGTGCTGCACAGCAAGGAGGACTACGTGTGCGGAGCAATCGCGCTGGCGAACAGCCTCCGGCGGAGCGGTACGCGCGCGGAGCTGGTGGCGCTGGTCTCCGCGGAGATCGGGAACTTCAGCCGCGGAGGCCTAGAGGCGGCGGGGTGGCGGCTGATTGACATTGAGAGGATTCGCAATCCGTACGGACGCCCGGGCACGTACAACCAGTGGAACTACAGGTAGGACTCCTCGGCAGTGCAACCATTAAAACACGTCGTTCACCATAACATGGACGCCTCTTGGTTATCTTTTATATGTCTATTAGCTTCTGGCGGCGCAACCCAACAAAAACACGGATGTTATTTCCTTGGTTGCTGTTGCCTTTTAATGTTACTAGTACACCTGAACAAGCGTGCTTACTCCACTCTCCCCTCAACGACCCGTTACAGCAAGCTCCGCTTGTGGCAGCTGACGGAATATGCAAAGGTGGTGTTCGTGGACGCGGATATCCTCGTTTTAAGAAACATGGACCACCTGTTCGAGTACCCCGAGCTGTCGGCGCGCAGCAACAGCCGGCGCTTCTTCAACTCGGGCGTGATGGTGATCGAGCCGTCGCAGTGTACATTCGAGCTCATGATGGAAAACATCGAGCTGATTCAGTCCTACAACGGCGGTGATCAGGTCAGTAGCGAAGAAGCGAATTGCCACCAGGATGGCAAGTGATTCCATAACGTGTAACCTGGCACGTTATTTACTACTAGAAGATATAAGCACTTGTGACGAAGAAGCGACTCTCGAGGCATCAGCAGCATGGAGCTGCTCGTGCATGGCATTTCCTGAAACCCAAGGCACTGGGACATTTGATTTGACCATCGTCTCTCTGCTGCCTACTACTCCCCCTCCCCCCATACTCCCTTCTATGCGCCACAGGGGTTCGTGAACGACGTGTTTTACTGGTGGCACCGCCTGCCCAAGTCCATCAACACGCTCAAATACATCAACGCGGACGACGGCCCCAAGCGTGACCTCGAAACCGAAACCCTAGATTCGCTCCTCGCGTCCGACCCGCCTACCATCCACGCGCTTCATTTCCTGGGCAAGAAGCCTTGGCGGTGTTATCGCGACTTCGACTGTAACATTGTTATGCACACGCACCGACGTTTTGTGCATCACGGCGCGCATAAGTTGTGGTTTACGCTGCACGATTCGATGCCTGAGGAGCTACAGGAGCACTGTCTTCCTAAGAATAACGACAAGGCTGGTATCGAGTACAGGATGGAGCTGCTCATGGAGGAGAATCAGCCCCCTGAGCTGTGGAATTTCACGCTTACGGATCCGAGGAGGGAGATGTGTGCTCCGCAGCAGACGCATTGCCAATGGCGGAAGAACCTGAAGGGGTTTCGGAAGAATAAGAAGCGGGATATGGAGAAGGACAGGGAGAGGGAGGAGAAGATGAGAGAGGAGAAGATGAAGGAAGAGCATAGGGATTAGAGGGACCTAGGGGAAACAAATGGAAATTGCTTGGTCTATTGGGGAGGTGCGTGCACCACAGGTAAGACTCATACTCTGCCCAGTCTATTAATTACGAGGCAAAATCTTGCTGTATTGCATTGCTGTGATGTATTGCTTATGCTTCCTGTTCACTAGCGTGCCTTTTTGGTGGGGTCTCTTGGACCTTAGCATCAAGCAGGTCAACCATCCCATCCAAGGGAGTGAATACAAGGATGTGCACTTTCTTTGGGACCAGAGAAGAGGGATGTTCCCTTGATTCTTTTGACAGCGTAATGTGTCTATTACTGTATCCACTCGTGAGATTTGTAACTCAAACACGGTTATGCTTTCCGCTAATGAAACCCTTTCTTATCTGTGTATTGTGACGTGCATATTATTCCGCAATCGTGACGTGTGACAGCGCACGTTTTTAGTTAGATATAAGCACGGGCTAGTGGGAACAAAACCCTTGAAGCCCCATAGAGCTGCGAGCACGTGGCATAGAATACTCGACACGTGTACCTAAGCGCTCACAATAACAAATGAAATGGCGGGAAGTTTGTGCGCTGGCAATTTCTGGATGTCCGCCACTTTCTCCAATCAAGCACCGCGGCTCGAGCAATCACCGGAGGCAATCATGGAGAATGCTGCTTCGCGCAAAACTTCGCCACACACTCTTCTAGTTCGCAGAAGTCTTCGCTCAATCATCGTCGCGAAACTGTTTCCTAACAACGGCAACTATATTCTCCCCCCCAGATTCCCTCCCATTTATCTAATACGCGATCTTTCCCGGCTCTCGGATCCAGCAAACTCTTCGTGCACTCAGCAGCCATCACCTTAGCAGCTCGTTTGCGTGGTCTGCACCACTTTCATAACAACCGCAATGGCTGCTACCACCATGGCTGCTGCTAGGCTCGCCTCTGTCGCTATTGCTGTCGCCTCCAGCTCATCTTCGAGGACGACACTCACATCCTCCTTCGCAGGTACAAGACGACAGCTTGCGGAATGACTTGACTGCATGCTTATAGCCTGAGAAACCCTTATTGTGACCTTTTTGCAGCGTTTTTGTCATATATGATTAGAAATCAAACCGACCTTGAGTCTTCTTTTCTTCACCTGGTTAACCTCAGGTGTGCGCCAGCAATCAGCCACGGCTGCATTCGGCGTCAGATCTACTGCTCGCACTGTCGCGTTCTTCAAGCTCGGTGGAGAGAGCGCTAAGAGCGCTGGCATCTTTGCAAGCCAACTTCGTGATGACTATGACGCTGACGACGTTGCCCACGTAAGTTCCGCGCTATTTGCTCTCCAATATCTGTTTCGCTCACCGTTGGGTCCAAGCTCCATTCACGATTTTCGCAACTCTCCCGGCGCGCTTTGTCTTGAACACCATTCTGGCTGAAGCCACAATGAAACGCACGTTTGGTATGATGCCACAATGAAGAAACGCACGTTTGGTTCTAAGATTCGAGCATAGCCTGATTCCCCTCACAAATAAAACTTCCCTCCAGCAGTACTTCAACTACTCCGGCATGCTCGCTGCCGAGGGAACGTACGAGAAGATGGAGAAGATGATCGAGTCCGGCACGCACGCGTGCGACATTCTGCTCATGATGGCTGCGTCGGAAGGCGACGTGCGGAAGATCGAGGAGCTGCTGTACGCCGGTGCGCGGTGCGACGTGCCCGACTGGGAGGGACGGACGGCCCTGGACCGCGCGTGCAATGACGAGATCAGGGAGATGATTCAAAAGGGTGCTCTCACTGATGCCATCTAAGCAGCTCGAGTGTGGTTCAGGGAAGGTGGCCTGAGCTGGCAGCTGGGACCGCCTCTCCCTTTGTAAGTCTGTTTATATATGAAATAAGTTTCTTTATATGGTCACAAATCCCCGTGTTACTCTAGAAGCTATCGTCTGCTGATGCAGGGCACTGTTCGACAAACACCTGCGCAGAATGGCATGTTCACTTTTGCAAAAAGCTCCACGTGTGGACACATCACAGGAAACATGCACAGTACGCAGGGATTGAAAAGCAGGCGTGTATGCAGCATCTGTACATGGTTAGCTTGAACGGAAACAGTGACAGGAGCTAAATCAGTTGTCTAGAGAAAAGGCATGATGCATTGATGAAGTAGCAGGATGGGATTCTCCATGGATGGTAATTCAAAATTTGGATACCTTGGGATTCCCCATGTCAAGAGACTTCTACCGCACATCCTTGTTGGGGGGAGCAGTCCAACTTGGCAGAGCATCCAGACTCTGTGCCAAGGTGGAATTTCCGTGGAGTCTCCTTCCTTATACGGGTAAAAATAGGAAGTTTCTGGTTTGTATCATCATCATGTGGATCTTTTCCTTCCTTCAAATGGGAATCATCTCATCTCCAAACTACATTTTCTAATCCCATCTTCATCGAGCTCTATTCCGCTGTGATTCCACTCTCCCAGTCTTCCCTACGGCACGGAGTGCTGTGGTGAAGTGTGGTGTGGTGTGCCCTACCTATCCGATTCCCCTCCCCCTCAAGGTCAGGGAAGTCAGACCAGGACCAGGATCAGCACCAGTGGTGCTGACTCGCTGCGGCTCTTTGTACAGGATGACAGTCGCATTCGAAGCTAAGTACGATAAGTGGTAGCCGAAGGTATTTCGTAGCGTCCGGCTGAATTGCCGTGGGACACACATTTCTCAGGACGCGTCTTAGGCACCTCAAATAGTTGGCCAACAGTTCCCAAATGAAAATATATTATTGCCCACCGCAAGAAGACACGCGTCTTAGTGTCTCACCCTGACTACCGTCTCCAATCCAAACCGTAAACAAGTAGCAACCACCCCGCATCACAGAAAACTACCAAGTGATCAACAAAATCCCATACAGCCCACCAGCCGAAATGGATCTTCTCGCGTTTTCCCGCTCAGTGGCTTGGCTGCCACCTGGGCTTTCCCGCGCTGTAGTGGTGCTCGCGCGAGTCGTCGATCCCGTCGTGGTCGTCGTCGTGGCCCTTCGCAGGCGACTTGCCCCACACAGGCGACTTGGACGGCGACTTGCCCCAGGGGTGATCGTCGCGCTTGCCCGCAGGCGACTTGCCCGGCGAGGGAGTCTTGGGCGACGGCGTCCTGGTCCACCTGCCCGGTGACTTGGGCGACGGCGACTTCGGCGACGGGGACTTGGGCGACGGCGACTTGGGCGACGGCGACCGGTGCCACTTGTCGTCGTCGGAGTCGTCGTGCCACTTGCCGGGCGACTTACTCGGAGACTTGCTGGGCGACCGGGAAGGAGACTTGGACGGAGAGCGATGGTACCAGTCGTCGGAGTCGTGCGACTTGCCGGGCGACTTGGAGGGCGACTTGGAGGGCGACTTGGAGGGCGACTTGTAGTAGTGGTCGTCGTCGCCGTAGTGATGGTCGTCGTCGTGATCGTCGTGGCTGTCGTCGTGATGGTCGTCGTCGTGGTCGTCGTCGTGGTCGTCGTGTCCGTCGTCGTCCGACAGCACGCGACGGTTTGCCTTGAGCTTCGACATGGCGTCTGCAAAAACGGAACAAAACCGCTTAGCGCCACTTGTTCTGCGTGAATTCCAGTGTCTCTTCAGCGGGGATTTGTGCTTGGAGCAAGGTCGCCGAGAGGATTATTGGGAAAAGCTGTAATGTGTTGGAAACGAGTCGTTTGCTCGGAATGCGAGTGAACCATGATAATAAACAGGAGTTTTCGGGAAAATGTGAGTTTCGTACCTCCACGAATTTCGGCGTCAGCGGCGAAGACGAGCGGCGCCGCCACAACAAGCACCGCAAGCGCAAGCGCGATGCAGAGGAGAACCTTGCGCGACGCCATGATAGCCGAAAGCTTCGCAGCGTTCTACAAGGTAGAAGTTCAGGTGCGCGGTTTCTACCGCAAGAAAAGAAATGAAATGTTGCTGGGAGAAATCTGCACACTGAACTCGAAATGTGTATGCTGATTTATATACTCGTTACGACTGCACCCACACGCCCCACCTGGTCCCGGAACAAGCTTCCCCCCCAAGCCAAGCCGCGCAACGAGGTCTCTCCGCTTTCACACCCACCTAGGCTGCAACACACGCCCTCGCCTCCTCCACACGCCCTCGCCTCCTCTTCCCTTTCCCCTCCCTTCCCCCTCCCCTCTCTCCCTCTCGAGTCTCGACCACTTCCCCCCACCCACCACACTTCCGCTCCGCTCGCCTCGCTGTCAAACCAAGCCAGGGTGCTGTGTGTTGAGCAACAGCCCTGCCCTGGGAAAGCGTGTGCGGTTGTGATACGCATGCGCACCGCGTGGCAAGCCGAAGCCTTTCATACCAGAAAACACCTGACACCAGCCGAGACCAATCCTGGCCGTTCATATAGGGGCAAAGTGAAGCGAACGTGGGCCATCGCACGGCAATGAATTTGCTTAATGGTCGCTCAGTCGCGCGTTTTGTCGACAAGCGGTCGGTGAAGAGTTCGCGAGGTACGCGAACACTAGACGACTGGCACTTGCGACGACAGAAGCTTCTTCCACATCTCCTATGACAGCTGGCATATCTGCCATGTCATCCACACTCTCGGGTCGCTAGCTTCGTCGCCAAGCTTCAAACCAGGCACTCTCAAGAAGAGCCACATGGCTTGATGTAACAGGTTACAGGTCAGCAAAAAGCAGCAGGATACACCGCATGGGTATCAGCTCCACGACTTTGAACATGTCCATCCAGTTGGGTGTATATTGTTGCACGCTACAGATGAGTACTTCATATTGGAAATAGCCCTGAAGTTGGGAAATTGAGTTGCGCGGGCTGGAACGAAACAAATCAGGGTTGAGGAGAACTGACGAAAAAAACGTAAGGCATGCGAAATTGAAAGTGAATAAGTGGCGCACAGATGCTGGCGCAGGCATGCGAAATTGAAAGTGAATAAGTGGCGCACAGATGCTGGCGCACAGATGCTGTCGCGCTGATGCTGGCGCCCCTATGCTGGCGCGCGGATATGCGCGGACCACAAAATTTAGGACGCGTTGAAAGTAGACGAACGATTGTCAGTGGCGATAGATGTGCGGATTGGTTACCCTATTTACTATGATGTAACCATTCTACAGTGCGTTTTTTAGCCAAAAAACTTTTACGGTATGTGAATGCGACTGATCGCTGATCGCGGGAGATCTGTGATAGGCATCAATCGACATTGATGCAAGTGAACCGAGCACACCTGGCGCGATTGATTCGGATGCATGCCACTTCCTGAGTTTTCGCACGGCCAAAAATTGGAGTCGCCCAAACATCTTACAAAGTGGAAACAGCGGAATGAGTTAGATTGATTGTGTTGGGGTACAAATGCCTAGCCCCAACTGTTTGTACCCCATATAGCATGACCCACTAGAGGCTATAACATTTGACACACCCCCATAGCCTAAGTGGGGAATGCCAAGCAACAAAACACAACCTAAGGTCACAAGACCAGTCACAAGCAAGAGAGCAAACAGAGCTCAGGGTGGATCACAACGTCACCACCAGTCTGAGCACAAACAAGAGGCCACAAGGCCAGTTCAAGAGAGTACAAGCTAATATATATAGTACAAACAAACAAGAGGCAAGAACTCACTACTGCAGTCTACTAGACCCAGTCTCAACGAGGCCTAACTGCAGACAAAACCGGCGGTGGTCACAAGGCTGAAGGGCCTTGGTGAAGATGTCTGCAGTGTTGGCCTCGGAGGCCACGAAGTCCAGACGCGCCTGACCGCGTCTCTGCAACTCTCGAAGGAGGAAGTACCTGACGTCGATGTGCTTCACTCTGCTCTCCAGTCGAGGCTCACGACACAGGAGAATCATCGCCTTGTTGTCAGCAAACAAGGTCGGTGCAGAGCTCGGCCGCTCACCAAGGTCAGTGAGCAAGAAGGTCAACCAGCGTAGCTCCTGTGCAGCAAGGGCTCCAGCGTAGATCTCGGCCTCTGCGGTAGAAGTCGCAACAGAGGAGGACCGAGTAGACCTCCACGAAACAGCTCCAGAGCCCAGACTGAAACAGTAACCCTGCGTAGACCTCTGAGTCTCAACGTCGTCGGCGTAGGAGGAGTCGCAGTGACCGGTGAGTACAACTGGCTGTGTCCCTCCAAGTACAAGCCCCATGTCTGATGTCGTGGCAAGGTACTTCGCCACCCTCTTAGCCGCCGTCCAGTGAACAGGACGGTGTCTCCTAGTCGCAACAAAGCGAGAAAGGATGCTAAGAGGGAAGGCGAGGTCCGGGCGAGTGCACGTCATCAGGTACATGAGGCAGCCCACCAGCTCTGCGTAGGGACCACTGGGCTCGAACGGCTCGTCAGGAAAAGGCCCAGTGAGTCTGTGGTCTACAGCAAGAGGGGTGGGTGTAGGAGAGGAGTGCTGAAGCCCGAACTGCTGAAGGACCTGCTGCACCATGTGTGACTGAGTCAAAGTGATGGTGCGTGCGGCTCTGTCTCTGGAGATCTGCAGGCCAAGGTAGCGGCGCAGTTCCCCAAGGTCAGTGCAGGTGTGTCTCTTCTGCAGTTTGGACTTCACCTCCGCCAGTGCAACTGTGTCGGCTGTGGCAAAAACCAAGTCGTCAACGTAGACCAGAACGAAGAAAGGTGTGCGCCCACGACGAACAAACAGCGACGGGTCGGCGGAAGACGGCTCAAACCCGAGGTCGGACAGAGTAGAGCGGAGAGTGTCGTGCCACTCACGGGGTGCCTGACGGAGACCGTAGACCGGTCGTCTGAGGCTCCACTGGGTCCCAGGCGGGAAGGTGCCAGTGAAGCCCGGAGGACGACGCAGCCAGATCTCCTCGTGTAGGCTGCCCTGCAGGAAGGCGGTGGAGAAGTCGAGGGAGTGTAGCTCGTAGTCCCTCTGTGCCGCTACGTGAAGTAACACCCGAAGAGTGGTCATCTTCAGGGTGGGCGCAAAGGTCTGAAAAAAGTCAACCCCCTCGCGCTGACTGAAACCTCTAGCCACGTAGCGTGCCTTGAAGACTGGGGGAGATCCCGGCGGCCGCTTCACCTTGAAGATCCACATGCCGTCAACTATGTTCGCCCCTGGGGGGGGAACCTCGTCAACGTAAGTGCCTGTGGACCTGTAGGAGGCCATCTCTGCGTCCATGGCAGCTCTCCACTGAGAGGCCCAAGGCCCTGACACTGCCTCAGCGTAAGTGCGAGGAGTAGGTATGTCAGGAGCGTCGGGGTCTCCCTCAGGAGCGAGCAGCATGGCACAGAGATGAGGCGAAGCAGCTGCCAGGAACTCTAGCTCAAACTGTCTGTCCTCTAGGACGTCACAGCCAAGGGCAGACTCACCCCCGGCGGACAGAGGACGGACAGGAGGAGCGGCCACAACACGAGTGGCGTAGTCAAGGCGACGCGTGGCAGTAAAGTCAGTGACAGCGGCAGTGAGGACCGCGACGGAGGAAGGAGAGGCACGAGGGTCGGTAACAAGAGAGGCGAGAACACGAGAGAGAGTGGGGCGGTACGTGCGGTAGTAGTCAGTGACCGGAGTGGACAGGGAGGCAGTGAGAGACGACTCAGGAGGGCGAGGAAGGACAGACGGAGGAGAACGAGGAGGACTAGGACGGAACAACACAGTACGGAGGTCAGTGACAGGTGACGAAGGACGAGCACGAGGAGGACGAGAGGCCCAAGTGTGGGCGAGAGGAGTGGGGGACGGAGGAGACTGAGGACGAGGGAACACAGCCGGAGCGGAGTCCGGAGGAGGAAACGTAGGACCGAACACAGGAGGAGAGGAGGGGAGACCAAGGGCCCGAAGGCCAGAAACAGGGGCCGGAGGCTGCTCCGGCTGCTGCTGCTGCTGCTGCTGCTGTTGCTGCTGCTGCTGCTGCTGCTGCTGCTGCTGCTGCTGCTGCTGCTGCTGCTGCTGCTGCTCCCGCTGCAACTCCAACCGCTCACGCTCCACCCGCCGCTGAACCTCCAACCTCTCACGCTCCAAACGCTGCTGCTCCTCACGCTCAACACGAAGAAGGGCCTGGTAACGAGTAGGGTAGGGGTGAGGAGGAGGAGTGGTGTCAGGAGACGAAGAAGAAGAACCAGCTCCGCCCTCGACAGTACCCGGCTGAGCACCCCCAGAGCGAGTACCCCCTGCGACAGCACGACCAGCACCTGTAGGAGGTGTACCCGCACCCCCAGTCGTGGTGCCTCCAGTGGCACCAGCACCAGTCCCAGACCCTCCAGCTCCAGGAACACCACTAGCTCCAGCACCACCACCAACTCCAGTACCCTCGGAACGGGCAGCTGCGGCAGGTGCACGCTCAGCGCCAACGCCAACACCCCCAGAACGGGCGGCTCCTGTAGGTGCACGAACAGCTCCAACGCCAGCACCCCCAGAGCGAGCACCGCCAGAGCCCTCACCTCGAGCACCAACACCCTCAGAGTCCGCAGTGGCCGGTAAAGGAAGCGCTGACGGCTGCTGCGGAGGCTGTGAGGACGACTGTGGGGAAGGAGGAGAGACCTGGGGGGGTACCGAGGGGGGGGGAGTAGCGTGGGACACACCAGACGGAGCGGGAACAGGGGGGGGTACCGGAGGAGCAGGGGCGGGAGGAGGAGGAGCTGGAGCCAGGAAGAGGGGAGGGGGGGGAACCGGGAGACCTCGACAGGGGTACCGGACGTAGTAGGGGACGGACTCGTCGAAACGGACGTCACGAGAGTCAAAGAACCGGTGGGAGGGAGGGTGGTAAAAGGTGAAGTCAGAGGAGTCCTCTGGGAAACCAAGGAAGACACAGGGGACGGCGCGAGGTGAGATCTTGTCCGCAGAGGTGTCGCGGACAAGAGCCAAGTAGCCCAAGACACTAAACCTCGACGCTACACCAGGGGACCCTGTCCAAAGACTGGTCGGT